AAGCATACCATCATTATCAACAGTGTAGTAAAGGAATATAAATAAAATTAAAGAAAAATATATACCAATATATACGTAACAGACGCCAAAGAAAAAACCCTCTCTAAATGAGTTGGCCAACGGATAAACTTAGACATCTGAAGGACGGAGACTGAGTAAAGTAGTAACGGGGTGATCATTCCATGACAAAGGGGACTGAGTTTCATAAACTCTTCAAGAAAATACACAGAAGGCACCTGAAAAAATAAGATCTTAACTCAGATGACGGGTCAGTCGTTCATCTTATCTTCGAAACGGAACGACCGGTCAAGTCAAGCAAGTAATGATAGTGTTTGTATTAGTCTTAAGCTGCTTTTTAGTCATCGGACACAGCGGCGATTTATAATTCCGTCGTTATATATGAAATGATTCATGGAATCCAAACTAAATCCTAGGATAATTAAACGTCAACAATTTATCCGAGAGCTACAGGCACGATTAAACAAATCAATCCAAAACTCTTTTAGATCGGCGAGTGACGTTGATAAACCTGTAAAAGTGACCGGAAAGACCTGAAGCCTCGATCTCCGCAACTTCTACGGCTCTGTTGCCCCTGGGGAGGACCTTAATTACAGACCGGCAATAACAGAAATAAACAATTGTCCACATACACTATTCCTGGTATTGTGGTTTGCCCAAAACTGAGAATGAAGTATTGGTTTTCATCCACTCGGTCAGTGAAACATCGGCCAATTTCGTGTTAGTAAAGTGCACTTGATGGTAATTAAGTCATTTGGAGCACTTGCATATTAACCTATTACGTGACTCCAAAGTAATGAACGGCCACGTGCACTAGCACTTGGAGCTTCAATTCTTTTCGATTGCCAAAAGGCTTTTTAACAGGACCATTAAGAATAACCCTTGGGGTTGTATTTTGTAAGTTAAGTTATGATTCTTCAAACCCCAGGTATATGACCAAACGTTATATCTAAAACACATTGTATACAGAAAATGAACTGAGATACCTTCCACCTACCTACCTTATTATAAAAGTTCATGTATAAGTTATCGTGAAACTTGTGTTTTACTAAATTGCACGTTTCCAGATTGACAGGTCAACAAAAAAATGAAAAAAGTATAATTTGTTATTTTGTCATTTGGAAAATCATTACAGTAAAATAAATTTCATCATTATTGACTGTAATTAATGGCCAAGTAGCACTTAAACTAAATCTGACGAAATGGAAGTCGGAAGGAAAAGCAAAGTACTTTTCGTCCATGTTGTATTTCATCAGACGAGAGCACAGCTCCGGGCAAACTGCGAAATCGTTTTCTACAAGTGCTCGAGGTAACATGGCATAATGGGCGAAATTGCCTTGCAAATAGTCAAATTCGATCAGGCAGTTTGTAATTTCCTTCATGCAGTAGCTTTCTGATCTAAATATTGATAAATTGCCCAACGCATTAATTATCCTAACAGAAGGCTGCCAAGCTAGGCTGTCGCGCGCTTCAGTTGTGCTTGAGTAAGCAAACCAAAAGGTGTTAAATCGAAAAGCAAAGCAATGGAATTGCAGATAGTCTGACAACGTGGTCGGCATATTGGACGTATTATTTTACGTCATCATTGAAACATCTTTGTCATGTGTATCAGCGTTAGATAGGTTGATAGCTTTACTGCCAGGTATTCTGCCGTGTAAATGATTTAACTTCTCTAAAATTTGGCCATTTTAAAGTTAATGCACACATGCATTAATGATTATAGAAAACTCTACTTCATTCTTGTTAACACATTTCTGTAAGAAATCATAAAATATCTCCAACGTTAAAGGAAAATAGCATTTTTATCTGCCGTTCGATCGTTGGCACTTATAATCCTCTCTCTCTCTTTCTCTCTTTCTCTCTCTCTCTCTCTGATTTAGGATACGTTTATTTTCCCTTTATTGACAGTGTGACCACTATTTACTATCATCAATCACTTTTGAACTCTGTGTTAATAAGTGTGACAAACATGTCGATAGCCATAGGGGTATCTCTTTCTATAATTCGGTTTATATCGGCAGTTTGATTTCATTGTTGAAGATTAGGTTGCTCCCAATTAACGAGAAGCGATCCGTGGGCCATTTTGAGGCAAGTCGCCAGGAGAGTCGTTCCGAGCTCCCGCATTGTGACATAAGACAGTAACAGCGATAACTGATACCTATTTATTTATTTATTTATACTGAACAACTTTTCAAACCGTTTCCGTTACTTATTTTCAAAATGACAATTATTATATCCAATCCAAAAAGTATCACCGAGATCTCTTTTGTCGATAATTAATAAAGCATTGCGTTGTTATTTTTTTCCTTAAAAACCTAACAATTTAAAATTGACTGCGGTAGACATTAAGTAAAATGTGTCACGTGATACTGTGCATTTAAAGCAAGGCTGTTATTAAACATGAACACCGTATGTCTCCGGGATTTTTTTTTGGGGGGGGATAAAAGCAAAGCTGGCGCGGGTGATAGACGTACGGGGAAAGTCATTCGTTGCACTAAAACAATGGAAAGTTCCACCGACCCGGCTTAGCTTTTCGAGCCTTTTCAGTTTACGAAAACATGAAAACAGTTTCATGAAAAACATGTTGTGCAATATTATACTTAAAACGTTCACATATGATGTGCAGTAACAGACACTCGGCAAAAGTCAACACTGCCCCCGACTCCGTTCCTCATCTGAAGATTCAATGGCGCCTTTACATGCATTGCATGCGCACTTATATGACTTTACATGTTTTTAGATGTAACCGATTCGTTTTCAGTATCTTAGATACCCACTGCCAATTTTAATTCAAGTATCTTTGATTTGACTACGTCACTGGAACATGAGCGTTCTCTTTATTGACACATCGGACAGATGAAATCTGCGTTATCCGTTCCTTTATCAAATATATATACAAGACCTGTATTACATTTCCTTCTGCTTATCTGGAAATGATTGCAAAACTCAATTTGATTCTCCGCAGATAACATTATCTAATTTGTCTGCCTGCGTCAGATGCTTGAAATTGATAGGCTGCAAGACAGAATATCACTTGAAATGAAACTGTGCTGTGCTTCTAGTTCGTGGAAAACTCATAGAATTTAAGGACAATTCCAGTAGTCCCTCGACTCCCCCTTTCCGGTTCAGTTTTCCCCTGGGAGTTTCTGACTAGTAAAGGATCAACCGGAGCCGTTTTGCAATTTATATTTTTGCTACAGAAAAGACTGCCCCCCCCCCCCTCGACCCCCTACCAACACCACCACCCTGTCCAACAATATTCTCCTGGACAATTTTCTCATGCGCTGGGAAAGCAATTTATCTTACACATGTGCGATGCGACATTTGTACTACATTTTTATGGCATAACATTGAAATATCCCAGAGTAACCTCTTCAATCAAATGCCAATAGATTATCTGATTATGTTAACTTAATATATTTCCTCATCTAATTTCCATCTTTGCAAGCACCTCCAATAAAAGTCTTTTAAACTTAAACTCTCAGTTATATCAGATCATTCCCATTTATCCATCTTTAGTTGATAACCAACAATTGCGATTGTTAATCAACTATTTAGACCCCTCTAACTGTGAAATGCTTCTATATGCATATAATATGATGGCCGATATGAACGGCTGACAGTTATGGAAAGAATCAACAACCGCACGTATTCCTTTTTGTACACACGCGTATAGAAACACGTTCTCTCAACAGTTATGCGTCTGCCCTTTTCAAGACCCCTTGGGAACACCATTTCAAGTCTTATCCGATACACAGGAAACGTGAACGTACATTTATGTGACCATGAAAAATACTGGTGGCATTCAAATAAAAATAGCGTTTTAATAAGTGATGCGGTGAACGTATGGGAAACATACGATTTAATGATGAAACTATTACCGATAAAATATTTTCAGTATATAATGATAAATCGTTTGAAATGTCTGACGTACGAGAACACAATGTAACCACTATAAAACATATTTTCTTATACATGTATGTAAATATATAAACCGGATAAATGTTCAATACCTCAAATCGACTAATGTCGCTGTCGAGAAAATGTCTTTAACACTAGAGATGGTCATGTCTGGGGAAATGATTCAGTTTGCATTGTGTAGTAAAAATATTGTCTGGGTAGAATCGCCTATTAGCCTATTGGGGTTCGGGGGGGGGGGGGGTCTGACTGTCCGGCCGTAAAATGTCCAAGTATCAAATCCAGAGTTTTGACACTTCTCCTGTAGCGTTGTCACCAAAATACGGATTTCCCCAAAACACTCGTGGTAGAGTACGGCACAAAACAAGCAGCAGACAGTCTGCCTGAGATGAGTAGTTAATAATCCTGATGACACAACTGTCATTCATCAATTTCACGCAGGATAACGACACGAAGGTTAATTTAATCTGTACCCCGAAGACACTCGCCAGTGGAGTCCACTGTTTGATATGCAAACCATTAAAGTGGATCAAATCCAAGGTCACGATTTTGCCTACAATGGCTATGGCACGGGGTCCGTTACACCATAAATTGGTGTAATCTAATATGTAAATGTAATTTAGTAATATAGCGACTTTTACACATCTAGAATGTATCCGAACCCAATAACTCGATCGACTCGTATTCATGGTTTTCACCGGTGACTTATGAAGAGACTGTCTTGATCAGATTAACTAAAGACATTTAGGCTAACATAGAATTGACGGTATATTTTGCTTACAGAATTGTTGAAATTTCATGTATCGTTGCATTTTATGTTGAAAATGTAAGAGGAAAGGTTTATAAAGTGTCTGTGTGTGTGTTAAAGAGAGAGAGAGAGAGAGAGAGAGGAGAGAGAGGGATAGGGATATATAGAGAGAGAGAGTGAGAGAGGGGAGGAGGGATGAAGAGAGGGATGGTGGGAGAGGGAGAGAGGGAATGTTGAATAGCAAACAACCGATAAATAGTCATTTTAACGATGTCCTAACCGTTGTTAACTGCTTCACACCATATTGTCATTGCAGCGCTGCACTCCGTGTGTGCCGAGAGACCGTTCACCGCGTCACAGGAGTACAGGATCAAGAAAATGTTACTGGAACGGTACGACAGGTCCACTCGGCCCGTGAAGAACGACAGCACAGCCATTAATATCAAAATAGCCATATCTCTGTACCACATTCTTGACACGGTGAGTAGTTGGTCTGAACCTCACTTGTTATTGTCCCGACTAAATATAGAAGATTTCCCAGAAATGACTCTCTCAACTTTTCACACTTTTATTTCATTCTCAGGACATCAGTTTTCGCAACATTGGCATGTTTGCGGGACAAGATTTCGCGGAAAACGGATACTTTTTCAAAAGAATGGCTTTGTTGAGGAATAATGAAAGCAAAAGTTTATCTCCAAGTTAACCACCCACTTAACAAGAAACAGATTGATTTTCAGACTTCATATCTTTGATTCGATATTCAGCAGATCGGAAAAAATTAGAAAAACATTGATTGTGGGAAATTTCAGTTCAGTGTATCAGTTTGTAAAATACGACATTGCCATAGATGTAGAAACCTACAGAGAGCTTTTGTCAGTGTTCTCGAAATTGTACAACTGTACGACTATATGCGCCTTGGTTGTAGAGTTTTCTATTTATAACAGTACACGTCAAATTGACGGCATATCGTTCGGATGGCGGGGATACAACTGTACCCATTATGAAAAGCCTAACTTTTCTCACAATATAAATACAATGTCATCAAAGAAGAGCATTTGTTTTAGCAGTTCCAGGATGACAACTTTGATGTATGTACAGGATTCTGGTTTGCATTTGATTGCAAAAAAAAGAAATGCTATCGATGGAAACGGTCGCCTAGGGACAACAGGATGCCATTGTTGATTTGGAACATCTTAAAATTGCAACAAGCAACTTCGCATTTCCCAAAGATTGATCAGATGTATAAAAAAGGGAAGTCCATGCAGTATTGGCTAATTTGAAAAAAAAAAAGATTGCGAATATGTTGTTTGAATCAAATGATTTATATTACAAAACCCGTTTGTATGCTGCGTATACGCCGTATGCATATACTTAAGGCAGAAATCAATTTTTCACTATTTGGTGAAAACTACATACGGAGCAATTCACTTAGGTTTATCGCTATGTCGATTTAAAAACTGTATGTATTAGACGATATCTGTCTCTCCTGCTATCTATTAGTAAATCAAACCATTCACCCCTCATTTAGAAAATACCAGGCCGAATGTATGGAAACAAGTCTCCATATCAAGCACCGCTCTGTCCCCTTTTCTTCTTATCTATCATCCATTTTCCTATTTAAATTTGCTCTTAAATACAAATAATCAATTCCATAAAATCAAATTATTAACAAAGCATGCCCTTGTGTGAAATTCGCAACCGTTAAAAGGTTAATTAATTCCTTGCACATTTTCTAGGGGCAATATACGGAGTATAATATAAGCATAATCGTTGTTTTTGAGAAATTGGTAATTTAAGTCCAGATGCTTTTTTAATGTGCGATCTAAAAGCAATTGAAAAGAAATTAGCACTCGCAATGACCAGCACTACCAAATGACCAGATTTTTTCTCTACTGCAACCATTGGAGCAATAAAACAAACCTGTATAATAGGCCCTAACTCAAACGTAACATGTGGTAATGAAATTTCGAAGATATTGAGTGGATACTGCTGTAGGAACACAAAGCTGAAACCTAGGTTTGTGCTGTCCCCATGATGTACCCAGTATGGGTTCCAGGTGATACACAACACTCAATATGTTGAATTTGTCACCATGGCGACCCAACTCCACTATAATGTTTTGTTACCCACTGGAGGATTTAAAACAAAATAAATAAAGAAAGAAATAAGTAAATAAATAAGGAATCGGCGTCAAAATGTCTCTGGCCAGTCTTTGTGCTTTATTGTTATAATCGTCCTTGGTTGTTGACACGACTATGTGAAACATCATGATGCAGCGAGAATATGAGTAATACACACTTACAGTGTAACATATATGTCTATAATTGGTTAGATGTGGTTAAAACACTATTTAAAAAGCGAAATAAACCGCAAGTAGCTGGTATATTTTTATTGATTGTGTCTCATTGTAAAGGGTTTGTATTCCCAATTGAACGTTGTGAGCGCTAAAATCCCAAACGCTTGGTACGGTGCCAATGACTCCCATATAATGACAATTACTGGGTTTTACATAATGGTGGTTTAGGTGAGGCATGTTGACGTATCTTTTTACTTGGAATTGCCAAGTCCATCTGCGCCTCAATTTTACAGATCTTACTGGATTTTTATACAGCAGAACAATAACTTTTCCACGAAATGTCAGTAATTTTTCATTTATCTCCAAAGAACACCCTATGAAAAAAAAAATGAGGGAAATTGAAGATCTATAAACCGGTTTTGGTGGTCAAAGTTTCTGGTTTTACCGTCACGAGTTAAAGTCGCCTGTCCTCCTCCATTACGAAAAAGACTTAAAAACTAGATATACCAAACTCAAAAGCAGATTTTAGCAACGTAACTCTGTGAGCATGCAGTTTTGGATATGGTGCACTTTGGTGAAAAAATTGAATATTTTGCTGTAGAAAGGTTTAACGTATGCATTTAAAACGCAGCAGTTTATATAACGGGTCCTGCGAGAATAGCATCAACTACTCAATAACTCCTCACCCTCTGTTTTTGCCTTTTACTAAGTCGATTTCCCAGCCCATGTACAATTAATCAAACTCCTATTTGGCCCATGTTACCGCAGCAATGTTTGCTGTCAATTGGATTTGATTCGTCGATACATGAATAACGGTGATGAAGAAGAAAATAGCGTGGTATAATAAGCTGACCTCGGTAATAGCCCCAGTACTCTGGGCTCTTAATGCCTGTTGATTGCACGCGGAAATCTAAGGCCCTACGTAACAAGCGCTGGATCCGGCGCGTTAATTCAGTAGATATTTGAGCCAATGCTGTTTTACTGGTAGTTAAAGGCACACAAATTAGACATTTATCTTCCAAAAAAAAGAAAAAAAGGACTGGAAATTACAACAAAAAAGCAATAGTCTGTCTTAAACCGCCGAGAAAAAGACGACTGACAAATATATAAACCTGTTTTCGAGCTCTAATTTCTTATTGTTAAGGTCACAATTGGAATCCGCAAGTTCCCATCACCATTACGATAATGACCAGCAATTAAAGCTTGAGAATTTGAAAGTCGGTAGTTCTGATTTTTGGACGGTTCGGATATGGTTTATCTTAGTTATTTTAATAAAAGGGTAAAAGGGTAAAGTGGAGTGTGTGAAAAGCGCTAAAACAAGGAGCGGAGAAAGGGACACATGCCCCGCCCTTGACTTCCGAGACTCCCCCTTCCTACTTTCCCTTCCTAAACAGCAAAGTGAGACGAAACCTAGATACCCTCCATCTCGGTGCCCTATGTATTATAGTAAATTTGCCCTTGTCTCCTTTTTCATGTTTGCTGAGCGAAGCGGGTCTAATTTTTTATACCCTTAATCCCCATCCACTATGCAAAAACGTAGGTCCGCTATATATGACTGTATGGTACAGGCTTTCTCAGTGCACGATCCCAATCACCCGCTACAATATGTTTTAAGCTGTTTTATTCTTTATCATTCGTAGGACGAGAAGTTCCAAACAATACAGGCACTGCTGTCCATTCGATTGGTAAGTTATTTTTCCTACGTTTGTTGAAACGTAAGACATTTCAAGGAATGTTATAGAGACTTGTTCATCCAAGTTGTTTTTAAATGCATCACTCTGGCAATTTAAGAGTATGATGCAATATTTCAGCAAGAGAGCAACTGATCACTCACCATCTAATAAGTTTCAAATATTCAGGCCTGTCTGTTCTGTCATTTAATTTCATTTATTTGTGTATACATATATTCGTGCATATCTACTTTAAGCGAAATAGGAAAGAATAGTAAGGTTAATTCTAGCACCCGATCCTAGTGAGGCGTATAAAACAGTTTACAAAATGAATCCTTCATCGCTATTCCATTCTATTCTATTATTTAAATCCACGCGTTCTTTCCAGCGCTGGAGGGATGAGCACTTGACGTGGAACCAGTCAGAATACGGTAGGGAGCGGATCTGGGTTCCAGCCAATCAGATATGGGTGCCAGACGTTGTCATCAACAATAAGTAAGTACGCACAAAGCGTTCTACAGTTTCCTCTCATGAAGAAGATATCCCTAATATATCACTATCGCTCTCTGCAACTATTTGTCTATAGACCGACGGACGCAATGTAACACTGCAGCTGCATGGTTTCTCGCATAATCATAACAAAAGTAGAATTACGTAATATTATCAAATTAAATTTCAATTTATGTTTTGCTTCATCATAATATGCCCATGTATAACATAAACCGTTCATTTCCTTAGAAATAGGGGCCATTCAGAATAAGTGATCCGAGTACTAACTGATCCACCAACTAAATATGGCCGACCCCACTTCAAAAGCTATGCCGCCAATTCCATGATGGTCTCCCCGCCTCCACCTGCGCCGTCGCTGCAGGGACCTTGCACCTAAACCCCGGAGCCGAGATTTAAGGCGTTCAATGGTGCGTGTGGAGGCGGGGAGACCATCGGGAATCAGCGGCATCGCTTTTAAAGTGGGGTCGGCCACATTTAGTACTCGGATCATCTGTTCTGAATAGCTCCATGGAAAATGATGGGATTATCTTGCCAACAGTACCAAGGCCACCAGAACAAGTTAAGCTTGCCCATTTACTAAAAAGCAAGATAAAATATCCATACTAAATGTGGCGTATAAACTTGCATCGATGTGTATAAGGAATCGTATCAAAGGTTTTTAAAAAGCGTTGCCATTATTTACTGATGGACACCAAAACGGATCAGTAACGGGCAGATCTATTGGAGAAAATACATACCTGTACATGTATAACATCTACGATCTACAAGAATAGGTTACATATACCCCCACTACATAAAATACCTGACCGCTGTTAAGGCAAGTCGATTTTGCGGGGACTTATGATTTAATTGACTGGAATTTAATTATCAAAACTTTGAATTCGTCTGTTTTACAAAAATCAATAATAAAATGGATAAAACTTTTCCTCAAGGAATCCTCTTCTAGCGTGTTGGTTAATGGTTTTTGCCTCCTCTTTCTTTTAAGTTTCTTATGGCTGCCGCCAGAGGGACTTTTCCCCGACCTCTTCGTACAAAGCGCAGTGAAAGGGTAGTCATATATAAGCTTTCACAATAAATAATCGGACATTCTTAATTTCTCAACATGTCGATGACATGGCCATTTCTTAGATAGGACTGAAAACGTTTCAAAGTCAACAAAGTTTTTTCCTGACTTTTCATAATTTCATGGTCTACAAAAGTAAAATTAAAATTAAATTTGTTCAGTAGCTAAATAAAAACAACAACAAAAATATTAATCATGATAATAATAATTAATATCATGAAATACAAAAAGTTAAAACTTGATTGTATTGGGGATGTTTTAATTGTCAAAATATTAGAAATTGATTTTCGGTGATAGTACAGAAAAAGGTTGAAAAAATCAGAGAAATGAGAGAAACTTTCAGATTCGACATCATTATGTCACTATGGTATTTTCAGTCATCAACCGCCTTGGGAAGAGTCGTAATTATAAAAACCTTAATTCATCCCACAGCGACTCATATACATGTACTTTGTTTTCCACGGTGTCAGTACAAAATAATGAATTTGTAGATAAATCACAAAAAAGCAACATTTCTCGTTCTAATGGAATGGAAATAATGACAGCGTGAAACTACATGTTATTACACAATCAAATTACTGAAGGCGGAATAAAAGATTCTGGTATCATGCATTATACAGATATCTCGGAAAGTGCATATCTGAGAGAATCATGACTACGGGTGTCCACTGGGCCGAAACGGGAATAATTGAAATGCAGAACATTTTATGCGTAGCAACAAACTGGTTTAGAATTTTAATTAAAAGAAAATTTAAAGTGGTCGGTGATTGGTGTTAAGTATTATAAAGACGAAATGATTTTATTCCAATGATGATTTCCTGAAGGTATCCCTATAGTCAAATGATAAAATGCATATAGGCTATAGTCCTGTTTTCAAGGGAATAAAGTCGGCGAATATAATAGTAATTTGGTTGATGCAGAGGGGAATTACGTAACGTATCACCCGTTGGTGGAGAGGCTTGGCAATATAATTGACGCCGTTAAATGTATTTTGGCACTGTAATACTTGGTGTGAAACGTGACAAAAACAAAATGTCAGTAAACGCATTCTGCAGATCGTTTTCGAGTGAAAAAAAGGTTCATACTAGAAGATATTTCCCCGGAGGAAAGGAACATCATCTCCTGAACATTGGAAAAAATGCCTTTGACTAAAATAATTTTGTTGCTAAATTGGTCAAGTACAACAGTCATCAAAATTAACAGATCTAAAATATAGGCCTATCTCTATGTAATGACAGTGCGATTTATTTGGCATGGCATTAGCACGTTGTCTTTTCCATCTGAATGTGTATTATGTCTTCATATAATTTATGTGACTTCAAAACACTGTCCGATATAAGCAATTTTAAAGGATTTCATGCCATTTATCCAATTCTCTTCATCAGCGCAGACGACAGCTTCGCCATTTCCGGTGCCTCAACCAACGCAATCGTCAGCTCTGATGGCAGCATTCTGTGGATGTATCCGGCAGTTATCAAAACTTACTGTACGCTGAACGTACGCTATTTCCCGTTTGACGCCCAGCAGTGTGAAATCACCTTCATATCCTGGACGTACAGCGGCTTTGAGCTCAACCTGACGGACGACGAAGAATTTAAGAACATCAATTACTACCGTCCGGAAAACCAGGAGTGGCTGGTGAATGACATTACGTCAGAGCGCCACGTCGCTATGTACGCCTGCTGCGCCGAGCCCTATCCTGACGTCACAATTACGCTGCATCTTAAGCGTCGAAGTCTGTTCTATATCTACAACCTCGTGTTCCCCTGTATCCTGATCTACTTGGCGTCCCTGTTCGGATTCTTCTTACCCGTGGAGTCCGGAGAGAAGGTGAACTTGGAGATCACCATTTTGCTGGCCCTTGTTGTCTTCCTGATGTTCATCAGTCAAAACCTACCCCCTACGCCTGACGCCATACCTTTCCTAGGTACGTAAATTATTTTGAAGTCCGGCACTCATGAGTGTAGAACTCGTATATATACATAACAAGTAGTTTTACAAAACGAAGTTGTCATTGTCCGTTTATTTGTTGTAGCCTATCACAGCAAAGTGCTTTTTTAAAAGATTTAGATATTACAAGAGGAATATTGGAATAAGGTAGTTGATAGTCACCTCCATCGGCAGATTTATTCACCTTGCAACCCCCTCCCCCTTCATGACTATAATTGCACTCATGTGAACTCAGATAACATGTACCAGTACACCAGACTGCTATTTTCAATTTATAGCCTTATAGCTGAATGTGTATGATGACGCATTCTGTACAATTCCCATTAAAACCAAAGTTGCTTTTCTTCTATCCAGATATGATCCTGGGGGTGAGCATGACCATGATTTTCATCTCCCTGGTCATGGCAGTTCTGGTCACCAACGTCTACTTCAAGAAGGACTCCAACTCCCCGCCGCCCAAATGGATCATGAACCTGCTGAGGAGATGCAAACGCGGCAAAAAGCGGCGCACCACAAACTACGAGATGTCCAAGTTTGGGAACGGCAACGCCAAGTACGACCTGGACGAGTTTGAAGGCCGGTCCTTGAGTCCTCCAAACATGAAGTGCGGCTGGTGCGGAGAGGACGGCAAACAGATCATTATTCCGAACTGCCACGAGGAGTGGACGACCCTCGCGCGTCTGTTAGACCGTCTGTTCTTCTGGGTATTCTTCATAACCAGCTCCATTGCCTTCACCACCGTCTTCTGCCAGATTCCAAGAGAACTGCTCTTATAGACAGATAACCAACGCACACAGACTGCCCGAAAGGGACTTATAGTTAACAACTTACTAATATGTCAGATGAATCCAAGTCCTCCAAGCGAGCCAACGGAGTGGCTTCCGAAATGGCTGCACTGCTTGACATGTTGAACCCAGTATGACAGCACTGCAGTGTCGGTTATCTCTGTACATACATTATTATATCATTCAGTAGAGGCCAAGGACCACCCTTGGAACACAGTGTCTTTTCTACGTTCGGACCGATGGTGACGAGCGCTAAGTTTCCCCAAGGAATGTTGGCGTGGCGATCCACGTATTTTTCAGTGAGGTAGAATTATTTGAGAAGGACCGCGTTTAGACAGGAGCGGTTGGAAGGGGTGGACTGCATAGCCCTGAGCAAAGTGCTATCTACCGTGTATATGGTGTATTAAGGAGGCCTAGCTGCCGCTTAATGTCTTCTTTGCCATTTTGTTCATATGTTATATACATGGAAGCGATTCAGAACTCAAACGATTGGTGGCTATGCGTCAATTAGGTCCTTGCGACAGCCATCGCTAACTTTCACTGTAGCTGTGCTTCGTTCACTGCAGTAATAACGAAGTTTCACGTGCCTGTCGCCTGGCGGAATATGGTCCGTCACATTGGGAAAAAAAGATATCACATGTGAACAGAAATTTGCTGCATTAATGTGAACCTGTCCATAAAATTTTATTATCACGTTCGCTAATGGGAAAGGTGTCATTCGGCATGTCATCACGGTTGATATCAGTTCATTAACGTTTGAAAAAAAATCCCTCATATTCCCGGAATTATCATCTTTGAAGTTGGAGAAGTCTAGAATGTGTAAAACCGATGTAGAGAGCTGGGATGTCTTTCATATCTATTGTGGGAAGCGCTTACTAGTCGGGTCATTAATAGTGGCTGAAGCTTCCATTCTATTACTATAATTAACTAGAAAGCCACCCGGAAAGAGCATCTGTGTTCAGTGTAAATAGACAAAATGTATACGGCAATCCCCGTTCTTTCTCTCTCAATGTCTTTTTCTCTCGGATTTCAGAGCAAAATGTAGGACGAAGATCAAACAGCGTTCTTATGTTGTATATTGTAGCTGTGCGCCAAACATAGGAGCTGTGAACGCAACTGACAAGAACAACACGCTTTGCTCCAGATTCGATGTTGATAAACAAATTGGACGATATTGTAAGCTTCGGAGAGTTCCAGTGTTACTTTAAATTTATCGAGGTTGTTTATAAAAATATGATCAACTATATAGCCGATTACCTCTTCCATATACTGTAGTGAAGAGGTGGAATTTCTTACAAATGGTTATTCTGAAAGTAAGCAAGTTGTATATGTAAATAAGGTGTATATGGTAGATAAAAGTAGCCATTAAACGTCAAAAGTAATACGGTGCTAAGTTTTATATGTCGACTGCTGTTGCACCGATGCCCTGCTGTCCCCCCTCTTCTCCCTCTCTCTCTCTCTCTCTCTCATCTTACAATTGGACATTTTTTGTATTCTTTTAGCAATGATCAATCTGCCTTTTCATGTCTTCTACTGAGCATCCCTCTTGTTACTTCTGTCACGAGGGTATCACGCCTCCTTTTCAATACGACAAGTTGAAATGAGCACGATCAACTACTGGAATGTAGAACTCAATAAAATTGTCTCCACATTTCTTGTCGTGTTGTTTATATTTATATATTAACTGAGTCCACTGGAACATAAAATGTTTTAACATTCAAATATACCAAAATCAACATATATATATATATATATATATATATATATATATATATATATATATATATATATATATATATATATATATATATATATCAAAGTATCAGATGCTAACAGTAGAACGAACGTTGCTGTTTCGTGTTTTTCCATTAAAGTTGTCATCACGTTCCAGTAGCATTTTACGTTGAAAGTGACTGGTACAACTCAGTGGCTGAGGCCAGAGCAACGCTTTTTATCACACCGATAGTTTCATTCCTCTATTTGCTATTTATCAATATAATCATGATAATAATTATTTAAATTGAAATTGAAACAATGATGATGATGATAGTAAATTATTGCATTTAGTATTCCATTAACGTCTCAATACATCTTTCAATAATATTAGAAACTTATTCGTGTCGACGTTAGAAGTCAATCTTATCTACAAGAGTGAAGGTACAAAAATATAAAACAAGCCATTTCTTCCTTGTTGAGACAGGTCACATCTGTATAACTAAATACACCTCGACAATAATTCACCCAGATTCCTATAGTAGACATAGATATAAGTAAGGACCTGCTAGAACCTCTGACAGATAACTTTTGTGAAGCCGAACTCGCTTTTGTTTATCGAGAGGCGCAGACCCGCCTCCACATACGCACCTGTGCCCTTTGTGTGGCCTGATTTATTCCAGACTTTCAATACAAACGGATTAACCGTGAAAACAGTGAGGTAAAATAGCTAAAAGTAGGGCGAGTGATTCACAGGTGTGTGTACAATGCAGTACAATGTACGCACTGCTGTGTGCACAGCAGTGGTCCCCGCACATAAGGATTTGAGCTTACATGTACGGAGTACATGAGGAATTGGTCCAGTGAATACATGTAGAGCTATAGACAGACTGTATAGATAAACTACTACATTTACACTCACGTACACGAGGATGCTATCACGTACGTGTTTATGATGCCTGGTGGGTAAAGGTCGCAGAAATAAACTGGGATTTCGTGTTGCCATGCAATGGCAGATACATTGAGACTGGGCCTATATCTCAGTGTCACCCGGTGTGTTTTACTGGTGACACTGTTGTCACAGCGGGGGCGACTGTCTGTGACCTCGGCAAATGAAGGTAAGTGACTATAATGATACACACGGTGTGAATATAAATGGCACGCAGAGTGTAGGGTTTCATATCAGTATATGTGTCTGGTAATACAACCTAGTTGTAAACCCACACCGGAAGTGCACTTTTACTTTCATATCGTTGGTTTCATACGCTCACACTGGACGGTGCTGCAGTGTAGAGTCCCGGGGAGGCCACGGCGGGCACTTGCCACCCCCTTAGTTCTGGAGGTATCCCCAATTGGCCACTTTTACCAGCATAACGAGACAGAACCCAAGCATCTATTCACCCCTTCCAGTATATTATACTTTTTAATCCCTTGTTTACTACATATACATGTACTCTACATGTAGGATTTTTTTTATCTTATGCACCCCCCTCCCTTCAGGAAAATCCAAGACCTGCCATTAATATTAGTACATACCTCAATGATTAATGTCCTTTCTCAAAGAAAAAAAAACCTTTGTCGCTAACGGTATCTTTATAAAGCTGACAACCACCATACAGGTGAAGTATCATCAAAGGAAAACCTAGAGGCCCTACTTTAGATTTATTCGTGTCAGAGGCCTATTGGTTAAATGCGGTATCCCTGAGATCGACAGCCTGCACGTGCTTACGCATAACGCATGTTAAAGCAAGGTGCAGTTCATATACATGTGCCTGCAGGGGCGGATCCAGAGGCATTTTCTGACAGTCTTCCAAATTATCTTTGTTGATCCATCTTCCATTTTTGACCGTCTTCCGACAGAAAACATTAAATGGCTGACAATGTAAACTTGAAAATCTGACCGTCTTCAAGAAGACCCAGAAGACGGCCTAAATCCGCCCCTGACCTGTTCAGTTGTTCTGCACTTCCTTCAGGAATTTATTTCACTGAAGTGATCCTTTCATGCGTAGAGGGGATAAATGTTATCTAAAATCACGCGTTCTGCAGAACAAATAAATTATAACAGATGAGATCACATTAAACATCATCATTTTAAATGTATTCTAGCTGATGATCAAACAGCTCACGTACAAAGCGTCGGTCTTTTCAATACTGTAAAGGTATAAAGGGGGTCCATATACTCTGTATAGTCATGGCATGGGTTGCTGTATCCAGTCAGATTGAACAGCACCAGGCGGACACATTGTTCATCCATCTACATTACAGCACCTTACTTACTGGCTTTTATCTTCTTTTTAGAGCTACCATGTCGCATACTATACCTTAAAGGAGAAAAAACAACTTTATCAAATTTCCCATGGCCTCTGTTTGGGAAGTTCTACTATCTAGACACTGCAGTTTACAGTACCAGTCCACACACAACTGTGTACAGACAGAGTGGGCGACAAAACAGTGCCGTGACGTTATTACGGGACTCAAAAAGAGGCTGGGTGCTGGAGGAAAGGTCCGCTGGTGGACTAACAAACAAACTGTGGACAGATTCAGACATTTTAGGTAACCATTATGGGCATAGGTGGTCATTCATAACCAGTGATAGACAGACTGGCTTTGTGTCCACCAGGGGGCGCGGGTTTCACTGCGTGTCACAAGGTAAGCTAGACCGGTTGTCACAGAAATACTAAATTGGAAACTTGGTCTTATCTTTAAGACGGAAAAAAGTTCAGTCTGCCTGTTCTCTGACTCAAGATAAATAAGAAACCTAGATAAAGATGCTGTGCATAGCGTTTTGGGTCAAAAGTTGGTAAACTTAAAAGGCTAACAACTCTTCGTACATGGTCATATATTCTTTAGTTCATTCAAATATATAAATAAATGTCAATTTTCAAAATCCTTCACAATTCTTTTACTCTTACGTGCCTTATTATCCCTCAGCATTATTCGGCTTTTCCCAAGTCTACATAGCCAGCCTGGTCTTCAACGGACTTCCCCAGGGTTACAAGTCCCTGGAGACCTGTCAACAGGGCTGTGCGGCTAATAACCTTTGTTGGGCAGTCAACTGGGACTTCCATTACAGCCAGTGTTTCTTCCTGCTGACCACAATGACCAGGGCGTGTAAGGAGGTAGAGATGGACAGTGGCTATAAACTGGACGGAGCCAGGGATATGGCCCACTACAGACGTGCAGGCTGGTGCCAGGGTAAACATCTAGACTGTTTTTATTTCTATGCTGAATGTACTGGTAAAGCATATACCTGTATTGCTGAATAATTGTGTCCAGCTGCAGAAAAATGAAACTTAGTCTTAACTTCCAAATGGATAATTTTAGTCAACTCTGACCTCAAATAAAGCAAAAGAGTTTACATTTATTTCCATTCTTGGACATTATCTACTCACTGTCCATAATTTCATATAGGCCTGCCACAAAAAAATCGATTACTTTGACATGGTTTAATCTGCATCCATCAAGAGGTAATATAATCAAACAAAATAAATAAATAAATAAATTAATTAATTAATTAATTAATTAATTAATTAATTAATTAAAGTAGAAAATATTCCATAAAAATCGTTTGCATTCTAGATGATTTTTGCCTGCTAGATGGCGCCACACGTGTGAACTGCTCCCACACGTGCTACTCCTACCCTGCCAGTGGGACGGTGTGGGGGTGTCAGTGTGACACAGGGTACAGCTACTGTGGACAGCACAGCACGTGTTGTGGTGAGTAGGAGTCCAAGTTCTGTGACTACTGTTAATTCTACGGCAGATGGAGTGAGTTACTTTGAGAAAAAAACTGGAGCATATTCTGGTGTTTTATCAATTTTTAAATACTGTTTTGATGTTTTTATCATGCCCTGTAACATTCTGAAAATGGATGTGTTCTGATCACTATTTCTGTCTGTCCTTGTCGTCACTGTCGCCCAAGCTGTTGCTGTTAGACACGTCTGTTGTTCACCCTATAACTGCCATGCCGTATTCATGTTTTTCTTCAAATTTACTGAGTGATCAAAATATAAGCGCCTTTCGAAAATCAGCATGGTTGGATTTTTTCAGTTGTTGATATTTTGTACATGTAACAGTTTTCTCTGTTTAGTGTTTGTCTAATAAGCAGCTCTGCTCTCTAGCTTTATGATAGGCCACAAGTAAGCTAGTAACATGATGTTTGATAGTTCTAAATTGGTGATATTTATAATGCTGGTGTTTTTTTTCCATGTCCAGACCGTGACGAGTGCGCCAACAGGGAAGACTACTGTCCCCCGAGCCAGCTATGCCTCAATACTGCTGGGAGATATTACTGTTTAACGTGTCCAAGCGGGTACACTGTAGACGGGACGCGGTCCAAATGTGTGGGTAAGTGTAATCCTTGGCCCTATTTTGTGGGAAAATCAGCTTTGGCTGACATTTTAGCTGACTTCTGGAATGTTGCGTTTGACATAAAGAAGACCGCTTGTTTCGCCTTTTTCGGAATAACAACGTCGTACATGTACACCGTTTGTAGCAACTCCCTTTTTACTGGTGACTGCGTAGCTATAGGTTTGTCAACTTGATTACATTTCTAGTGGTGCAATGTAACACAAAACACTTTAAAGCCAAAAACAAAATGTCAACTTGAAGTGAAGTGGGTTATTTCAATTAAGCACTGTTCAGTTTGGTAGTAAACTGTTCCCATATCAGTGTAAGGTGAGCTGTCTTAGATTTAGAACGCCTCATTTATCAAAATATTCTCATTTAAAGTTTGTCATTTTAGTTACTCACGAAAATATATATGTGACATACCTGTAAACCTTTCGAAACTTTTAAGTAATATAATGCTGATAATACCAGCAAAGAGAAATGTCAACCAGCAGGTTGTTCGAATTAATTCAGTGACTACCCTGTGTATTTTTAAATACCTATTGAAATAATGTTACCCCTTATTCCTATATTTCCAGATGTAGACGAGTGCACACTTGGTGCGGCAAACTGTAGTCAGTTATGTAATAACACGGAGGGTGGATACCACTGTTCGTGCCAGCCAGGGTTTACTCTGAGGGAGGACAATACCTCATGTACAGGTAAGAAACGCGGAATCGTCTGCAGTTTCACGGTGATTCCCAATGGCTAATCCCAGGAATGGTACAGTGGACACTTGTCACCCCTCTGCTCGACCCCCCCCCCCCGACCCTCTCGCACCCCTAGGTTTCGGTGGTACCTTTGTACCCTCTTCCACTATAATATAATGAACAATACACGCGTCTAAACCACTTTATTTTTCGTCTCTTTATCTTTCATATTATGGTTATATTTTCCTCGGCTAATTTATATTTTCCCAGCGACGCGAGTAACAGTTTTTCGCTTACCTCCTCTCCCTAAGAAAATTCCGCAAAATCCGTCAGTTATATTGTTAAAGGTTATTATAGTTGAGAAATTGAGACACTAGCGTATTCAATTTATAAGTAAGTGAGCATAATCTATTACATAATCTTATCAGTGACGCACACATTTGATATCTCTCTTTTTTAGAAAATAATTTGACCGGAGAGTCTTTACCTCCCTCGGGTAAGTGGTAACTCAGGGACTGTATTTATCTACTCTATAATAATAGTAACATATTAATATGTAGATATGTTTTGTTTTTCCCAGAACCACGCTGTGTGGGCTATATAAGATAGCTCTCAACTTTTATGAGAAACTCTAGCAGACGTTCTATCTCTGAAACACCTCTAGATCTATGTACATGTACTGGGGGTATATCCATTTTTAAATTTTTTTATACAGCAGAGGAACATTATTAGTAGGCCTATACTGAGTCTTACACGTTATGTGCACATGTATCTCAATGCCTGTATGACGTCATATGGCTATCACGTGATTTCAGGGGCGGTCCTCCAAACAGCGGTGGGCGTGGCTGCAGCTGTTGTCTTGATGGTTATGATTATAATCATTGTGTTGTTGATTTGCAGACGCAGGTTGGTTTTAGCAGTTACTTCTTATTGTAACATCCCGATTAAAATTTCAGAGATGTCTTTAATGAAGCATACATGTGACAATAGTATTTAAAACCGTTGTTGCCTTATTGGTAGATTTAAGCTCGATAATTTAAAAAAAATACTCATTAGAAAACTTTTAGCAAAAAAAAAAAAAAATGGCGACAAGTCGGCTTACCTGTGCTGTATCACATTCATTGCAGAAGGCAGAAAGCCACCCAGGAAAGGATGACAAACTTTACATACGGTGAACTGGAGCATTTAACACGCCCACAACCCCCTGGACTTTCAGTTCGACAAGACGGAAAACAGAACTGTTCGTCTCAGTCCACTCCGCAAGCATGCAACGGTCCGGTACTGGTCTCTGATCAAGGTGAAGGTCATTACTCAGAGGTTTCTACATACTACACAGAACCGGTGTATGCCGAGCCAGCAGACGTATCAGACGGTACACATGGATCCAGTGATGCCCCAGTACCTATAGATAAACACATGACTCATGCTTATGCCGTGACAGACAACATTAATATTCCTGCGCAAGATGACCGTTATGTGGACACTGCGCATGATGGAGAAATCCACATGGTGGAGAATGAAATCTATGAAGCCAGCTAGTCCTGTGAGAAAAAGGAGTGGGTGGGGTTTTACAACGCAACGACAACAAAATTAAGTCTCTCTAGTGTTCTGTTCCGTTAATTACGTGTTCAAGTGCATTATGTTCCTTGACATAATTTTTCGTTGTTGATTTATATGAATTATTAACGAAAAATGATGGTGAGATTAAACACTCTTCATGCTATAATGTGGCATAATGTTAATTAAATTTGTATTTTATTTTTACCAAACTTCCTGGAAGTAAGACAAGTGATTATTCCTCAACAAACATTCCTCGTTCCTTTTCTCTTTCTCTCTCTTTCTCTCTCTCTCTCTTTCTCTCTCTCTCTCTCTCTCTCTCACACACACACACACACACACTGTCATAATTACGACCAACTTAAAGGAGCTTCAATCGACGCGACGTTATATAAGACGGCCTTACAACAAAGAGATCAGACTGCAACCTGGTACAAATGGGGTCATGACTTAAAATAACGCTCTTTCGAGACCTTCTTAAAACAATGGACGAATCAAAATGATGTTACTTGATCTATAAATCAGAGTTCTCTCATTAAAATGAACATTTTGCAAGGCCAACTTTCATGGCCATGTCTAAATGCAGTGACTATTCTTGTCTCAACAACTGCATTCCATGCACTGAGTCACATCTATCACACTCCCTACCACACCCTACGTATACTTTATTGCTCTAACGAATTTTTTATTCCTTCCTTATATAATTTGAAAAAAGAATGAGAAACGGAAAAAAGATTTTTCTTTTCATTTCAGCAAACTGATTAGCAAGAAAGAAAAGAAAAAAATGAGTGACTAAAGATTTAACGGTTTCACAGTCATTTATTTTGTGTGATCTAACAATTTACAACACATGCCCGTCGATACAAACGTATAACTTAGATGAAGTGTATACTATGACCATAACAAACATGATGTGCTCGTCAATTATTCTACCAAACTCGGTTCCTTGTCAAGATTATCAATGTACATTCTTCCCTGAGAATACTTGAAAAAAGAGAAAAAAACATACATGTACGTGGTAGCAATGTACACCTACAATGTAATGTTGAATGGAGAAATGTTATCACCGGACTTCTTTCTACAAGATCGACACTAATTTTTTTTCTCAAGTGTTAAATCAGAAGTGATTCGCTTAAATGCGGCACCTGGCGCGTTTCAGGCTTAAGTTAGAAATGACAGTTGTTTAAGACTGTAATGACCACACTAGCAGTCTAATCCTTGGCCAAAGTAAATTATTTTCTCAATATCAAAATTACGATTAACTGTTATATTGTTGCTCTCAGTTAAGTGAACAGATATCATATCAGCTTGTGTATATCAATAGACAAACTGCACCGTTTATATACACGTTATCTGGATATCTGTAGGAAACGCAACCAGACTGGTATGCACTTGGACATACATATGTAATAAGAGATTTTAAAAATCTTACAGTCATTGCTGTCGATTAATTCTGTCAAGTGACTTTCTGAGATTTGCATAAAGATTTTTGTCACCATGGTTATTCGGGAGCCACTTTCTGTTACTGTGAGTGCGAGACGCCGGGGCATTCCCTGTGCGACCCGCGAGTCCTCGGACATTTATCCCGATACCGTGGTTAGAGCCGATAGAAGGGTTACGTGAACGCTGCGGTTTCTGGGGGGCGGTCTTCTCTTGCAGCTCGCTAAGCTGCTGTTGTAACTCCTCAAGCTCCTTTTCGTGCTTCAAGTCTTTCTCACGTTGTTCCTCCACGATGTCTTCTAGCTGACATTCGGTATTGTTTTTCTCCGTAATGGCCTCGTCAAGACGTCGTCTGAGAGCAAAGTTCTGATCCCTCAGCTCATTTATCTGAGTTGATTGGTCTTTTATTTTCATGGCAAATTGTTCTTCGCGCAATTCGTGCCGTTTAACATTCTCGGCAAGACGCTTCTCTTGCATCTGTATGGCCTCTCTGATCACCTCAACTATAGGTTTGCCACACGAGGGGACCTCGTTGAGAGTGATATAGCAGTCTCTATGCGTCTCTTGATACCACTCTAATTCAAATCCCAGTTTCTCCACGTGATACTCCAGCTCTTCCAAATCGTCCATTTCCGAGAGATTCTTTGCCTTTCCACCGCTGTCCGCCCGCATGAAGTTGGCACAAAGACGTTTCAGTTTCAGGTTAATGTTTGGCACCTTGAACTGGTGGCGCTCCAAGGAGGTCTCGTAGTCCCCCAGCTGGTCCCTCCAGTACGTGCGCTCGCGGTGGATTTTGGCTGCCAGAGCGTTTTCGATACTTTTCTTATTCGACAGGGGGACTTTTTTGTTCTCTCCGAGTTGCTTGTGGATGAAGTTGTTGACGTCATCACGGATATCATGATCTACATGTACTCGGGCAACTTAAAGAAAAAACGAAGTAAGTTGTTCACATTAAAATGATCCGGTTGCTTAATCCCTGATATTAGAAATATGTTCATAACTTTATTACAATATTTGTTTAGACAGGGACAAAAGAGCATTTCAACAAGTTAATGATTTACAGCTACAACTTCAGCATGTATACCCTATATCTTTTGTGCAGTCTTACAATAGAGCAAACACAAAATTGAAACAAAGAGAAAACTAGCCATCAATGTGATAGATAAATAGATGAATAAATAATGCAACATATAATAAATAAATAAATAAATAAATAAATAAATAAATAAATAAATAAATAAATAAAAGAAAGAAAGAAGGAATATCAGATTTTGCATAGACAAAGCGAGGCAGATCCCAGCACCATCATCATCATTATGTAGTCTCATTACCTCCGTGTCCTCGTCCAAGTTTGGCGTTATTCTCCTCCTCCTTCAGGACCTCCTTCATCCTCTTGGCCAGCCAGCTGTAGTCCTCCTCTAACACCCTGACCAGGTCCTGGAACGCTGAGGGTCCCCGTCTGGGCAGCATGTCTAGGACAGTGGTCATCTTCTCGCGGTCGCTCACGGACTCCTAAAATACGGAAATAATCAAATAGAAGGTGTAATGGGAAAAATACGGTGTAACTCATTCTAATATACTTTGAGACGAGAGGAGCTATAATAACACATTTGAAGTGACTATTTTGTCTTGTTTGCAGGGTGGATATTTCAAAATCACATTAACTAGTAACATGATAATTAAAATTAATTTTAAAAACATCTCTCTCTCTCTCTCTCTCTCTCTCTCTCTCTCTGGTGTTTCTGTTACGTATTTTTGTTTGAATGTGGACAATGAAAAGCTTTCGACATTAAAATGGACACCGTATAAAACACTGTTTCTTTAACATATTAATATACAGTATATAAACTGTACCTTGACTCTCTCCTCCACCATTCCCTGTGTTAAGACACCGTCTTGTACGAGTCGGTCTAGAAACTCGTCAGTGACAATGATGCCGCTGGCCAGCTCTGTGCGGAGTCGAATCAGGACCTTTTTCTCTTTGTCATCCATGGCTTTTCTCCAGCAAAAAAAGAGCTATCCGCATATGTGAGAACGAATGTGAAATTCCTTATTCCTTTTGATCAGCCAACATAAATGTTTTGCATAGAAAAAAGAACCTTGGGTTTTTAGTCACATTGCAGATAAAATAATTCCTCTGCTAACTCCGTTTCTATCTGAACAGTTCAAGCAGGAGAGATACAGGTGTCGACGTATTCTGCAGATTGAATTTTATACGACGCATATTCTTAATCATTTAAAACGCTGATCTTAATAAAAATCCGCCGTAAAGCTGACACAGCGCCAAAGTCTCTTTGTATTGACGATTGTTCCTTGTTTTCACTACCTATTTCCAAACTGTAGGTTTATATTTTTAAAAAACCTTCAATGTCTTCAAATTACAACCCCGCTTCTAAAACTGCAGAACTCGGGACGAACATGAAAACACTGGAATGTCTTCTTCAGGCGCGAAAAGTAAACTCGGCGTCGCTAGTGAACGCTTGAGTCACGACTATATCTGTGCGTCTTTGGGCTGTGTAATAATTGGAAAGTTTTTTTTGTATGTGTGTAAGAGGGGGGCAGAGGTATCGAATATCCATAACTGGTTCGTTCGAGCGAGTCACTTTTCTCTAGTTTACTATTGTTGAAACTGGGCTAAACGCCACGGGTTAACTATGTTTGAGGGTCGCCACCGCGAAATTTAGAATGCGGTATTTTTTTAATTATTATTTATGTTTTTGATTTATATCACGGATAGCTTGCAATGTCTTTAGGAAGATGTTTTATAATTAAGTATGTAGGTTCTCAACAGAATATCCAAAATGAGCAACACGCAATACACAGATGTTGATTTTTTTTTTTTTTTTTTTTGCAGCTTTTTTTATGATGCGTCATGTATACCCCACCCCTTTAGCCCTCCACAGAAACTAAATCATTGTTGGAACTTTTGAGACCGAGGAGGACCTTTGAACACCTATACCATTACCGAGGTTTTGTTGAATCGGCTCTACACCCCAGCCATAGTAATCAATGCGCTGCAGCAACAGGTTGTTTTAAATAGTATAATCCATGGCCCTTTTCATTACTGGAGAAATGAAAACATTGATTCGCCTTTGTGGAGGGCATAACCCTGCCGGTCTTTGGCAATCGATAGCTGTGGGTATTGTCGTGAGTGTTTGGCCATTGCCTTAATGTTGGTTTAAGGTAATTGGATTAAATGTTATAATGCAGCCAGGTGTGTAGCGATTGACTTTACGGAATTTCCAGCTCTGATTTTGACTCTGACGGACGGATAATTTTTTTTCCCTTTTTTAATTTAATTTTATTTTATTNTTATTTTTATTTATTTTATTTTTTTTTTTTGGGGGGGGGGGGATGTTCGTAATTTATGTTGATGTTTTCATTTAATAAAATCTAGCGTGTACTGAGATATTTAAACGTTTCATTTATTGCTTGTTGATGTGGAGGACGCAACTTGTTAACGTGTTTCTTGATTGGAACTTCGTTTTTATCGTACAAAGAGAGATGTATTTCTTAAAATTCATTTAGAAAAAAAAATTGGAAAAATCCCGTGCATTTCTATCCATATAAAAAAATCACAGTAAGATTTAAAAACCAATCAATTATTGGCATTTTGATTTTGTCATTGAAGCAGTGAAATCCCGATAAGCACGCTGCATTGGCATATGAATGATAATAACTTTGTTTGCCCAGGGTACAGCACTCCTGCAGAGAAGTGATGTTATAATGTGATTGTGTCATTTTAACCGCGTCACCCGCTTGTGTTATAGTAGATATTGGATTTTTTTTTTTTTTTTTTTTTTTTTTGATATACAGACTCAGGCGATAATCTATGGAAATTAGAAGATAAAAAACCGAGACACCGTGATGAAAATCAAAGTTTTGCAAATCATGAAAACCACCTCTCTTTCTCTCTCTCTCTCTCTCTCTCTCACACACACACACACACACAGACAAGCAAAGTCTCTATTTCTCTCTCTCTTTCTCTCTCTCTCTCTCTCTCTCTCTCACACACACACACACACACACACACAAACAAACTCTCTCTCTCTCTCTCTCTCTCTCTCCAGGGTCTAGATCTGGAGAGAGCTTTCATGCGAAAGGTCTTTTGTGCCATTTAACGCCCTATGGTTCATACAGCATCGCCGATTATTTATTCTGAACAACCTTGGTGACACAATATTTGGCGACCCTAGATGGGAATTTTGGCCCAGTCTAAACATAGCTCCTACGTCATTTAATTTTCCAGTTTTATCGCCGTGAAACCCCCAAACGTTTAATTGCCATTAATCGCAAGCTCGTATCAATGCAGGTTTACATTATTTTGACGTGTGGTTGATGTTTCCTTGACTCTTGTCACCTAATGCTGATAGTGCAGCCACATTTATCACCCGTCTTTTCTGATTAGTGTGTGAGGCGCACTTGTCAACGCCAGGTGGTAGGCAGGGGTTGGACTTTCAGGTCTGCAGGAATTAACACTGAGTAAAATTTTGAAGAATTGAGATGAGCGCGGAACTTCTCTTTTCTTTTTTCGAAAGATATATATTTTAACCTTGTTTTTGCCTCGATCAACTTAAGTATTGTATACGCCTCATACTGTAAACCAGTGCCAGAACGCAGTCTAATACACTGTATGAAGTGAGGGGATCTAGGGGCTGGCTAATACCTTTCAGATGACACAAAGCTTTTCACAATTATCAAGTCCACTTTAATGTACCCTGAAAGATGGACACCTTACACAAGGAGATATTGAAGAAGTTCCGCGTCAGACTGATTGACGAGCTGTGTGATGTCAGCACCATCGTGGAACACCTGTTTCAGCATGACACCGTTACCGAGGGATTGAAGGATAAGATACAGGTGAGAAATCACACATTTAAGTCAATTTAAATCAAATTAAATTAAATTTAGCTTACAACAAGGCGAGGCACTCACGCTTTTCCATAACTGCACGCATATCCCTAGAACTACTATATATGACGCTGAACCACCCCCTCTAATACCCTTTACCCCGGTATAACCTATACTGGTTTCTGAATACCTTTTTTGGAAAACGTAACTAGAAATTTGACACAAGACACTGACTTTAGTGCACCAAACATATCTGGTTTGAACTTTTTATAGTTTGGGTAAGATTTTATTGTAAAATAAAGGGTTTAAAATTATGTCGAAATGCACGGTTTTTGAATGAAAGCAATTTAAGTGAATCTTATCTTATGCAGTGGTAAGATCGACCTCCTCTCGACCTAGTATAACTGACAGAACAATGAAGTTTCAAGAATAATGAAGCCATTACATAGAATTCTGATATTCTCCTTTTCAAACTGAGGCCACAATTTTCTTTAAACTCGCTCTCCAATGTACATCAACAGCCCTATATAATTCCAATACGGTCTTTTTCAGGCGACGCAAACAGAGAGAGAAAAAATTCGTTGCCTGTTGGACATCCTTCCGAAGCGAGGCCCAGAGGCGTTCCGGCGGTTCCTGGCGGCTGTGGAGGTCAGTCATGATTGGATAGTTAGGGACATGAGGGAGGCCGTCATCTTGGACGAAGCTAAACTTACCCGGATGAAGGGGGGCGTTTCGAAAAATGGTTAGTTGCCCGAGTTTATCAAAACAAGACCTTTGGTCAGAGCTTATTACTCCTCTAACTTTACTTGATATAATCTGTAATTTAAGATATAAACGTTCTTAAAAAGAAGAAATTAATGTATGCATTATTACTATGCAGCGATATTTTTCTACTAGTACTTTAGTCGGCCTATCTGTATTTTTCTCTCTGAACTAAGGAGCAATGTCTCGTATTATAATATTAATAACTTGCTATCATTTTCAGTAAGGGACGTAGATCCAGAAATTCGTCAGGAGGTCATAGACTTCTGCTCAAAGCTGTGGCGAGAGGACCGATACAGACGGATCCCCGAATTTGCCAAGAGCGGCATAGAGGACGCCTTGACCAAGAGACTGGCCCAAGAAAAGAGGCTGCGAGAGCGACAGGAGTCTTTCTTCCGAGTCACTAAGACGCAGAATGAGGCACTTCTCCCAGAGCTGAAGAACAAAGTTCGTGAAATGTGTGGACGGTTCGGAGACTCGGATACTGATCAACAAAGAAACAGGGTGAATGATTCATCAGACGACTTGGAAGCTTTGGAAATTTACATCCGGGCTGTTCGACATCTCCTGGAGAAAAACGAGGTGCGCGTTGCCGACTGTTACCGAATTATGAACCTCGAAATTCCGAACGAAAACCGAAACAGACTCCCATTGTCGGAGAAAATCGAAGAACTTTTAGCAGATCGCGACGAACAAATCCGTGAACTGCGCAGTGAAAAAAAGAAACTTCAAATGGAATTTGAAACTTTCAAATCTGCCGCCGAGTATGAAAGGGTAAAAATGGAAAATCAAGCACGGGGATATTCCGCCGAAATACAGTGTCTGGAGGACGAGCTGAAAAACGTTAAAATGGACAAAAGTGAAGTTCTGCTAGAACTTCAGTCCAGTAGGGAGGAAGCAGCCAGCCTGCAGATGGAAGTTGAAACCCTGACTAAGGAGATAATGGCTTTACAATCTTCCCCCCGTGGCTCAGTGCAGGGACACGCTTCTCCCAGAAAATCTTTGAGAGTAGATTCCTCTCTGTCACCCGCCCGGACACGGAGTAAACGACGATAATTTTTAAAAACAATTATATTGGGTGACTCAAAAATGCTACTGATTTCAAAGTTCAACAGTTACGAAGATATTGCAATGAAATTTAGGCTTCTAGGGAAAATGATGTTATAAATGAATGCTGAAAGTTTCATGACTCAGTCTTTCTTAATTTTGGCACACAGAAAATAATTAAGTCAAAAAGTGCCATGTGACTTCTGACAGGTGCCCGTGTCTGACAGTTTTAACACCTGTCAGTGTGTTCTTGATTTAATGATAATATCAAATTTGTTTCACTTTTACCATTGGTTGGCCAATCATAATAAATCAAAACCCTGTGTCAAATGTCAATTCAAAAGCTTGTGCAATGTTGATGTTGGTGAACTTTGAAGTTACAGTTACTTTTTTTAGCCATTCGATATGAAGTGTGACTACCACTTGTGGTAATGGTCGCTTGAATAGGGCTGAGGTGCCATGGACATATAATACAGCTTTTCAAGAACACGTTTTAGTGTTTACATTATGTTCAGAGACCTATACACTGTATAGGTATATTTTGTTATAAAGGTATATATTGTAGATATATTTTCACCAGCCAGTGAAGTGGGGATATTACAGAGTTCTGTGAAATTAAGATAAGGTTGCGGTGTAAATTTAGATCGTTTTCTGTCCATTTTCTGTGCTACGGGATTGTTTATTTTTTAATATATTGACACCCTGAATTGGTTGTTTTTGTAAATTCCAATCACTCAATTTTTTGTGGGAAATTGGAGATCATTGTGCCTTTTTCACCATTTAAAATACATCAATTTATAAGCCTATTTGAAACGCAAGAAAATACTTTCCCTTGAATGTGAACGTCTATAAATATATATACGGTGTCAAATAAATTTTGCGTATATTCCTTGTGAGTTCCATTTAAACAGTTTTAGATAAGCAGTGCTTTTAAAAGTTTTCGGGATCGATTACTTTCACTCATTGACTATATGTGGAATTAAGTTAACCAAGGTGCGTTCTTTGTACCAGTATGCGCTACAATGATTAAAACACATATTTAAAAGAAATGGAAAATGGAACTTTTAAGACACTTGTTAAGGAATCGTTGAAACAATGCAGATATCAGACATGAGGTCGACGTAAGCTTAATGCGACCGTATAAACACCCGTCAAACACTGAGAGAGATAACTCTTGTAATGGGCTGTCAGCACGTAGAGGAAGCCTACGTCCCTGTCCTAATAGGTAGGGGTTGTGCAGCTCACTCCCAGCCCCGGCCGACTTCTGACCACAGGAGACCGCCCCCCCCCCCCCCCCCCCCCCCCCCCCCCCCCCCCCACCCCCAAACCCCACCCCCCCCCCGCTACTCACACACACAAAACTCCAATCCAGGTCTCAAAAAGACAGTGGCGAATTTAAATAGCGAAGTTATCTCGGGTACTTTTATTTTTCGGACCAGGTTCTCAGGGGACGCGTTAGTGTGAGACAGTAAATTGATATTAATTTCCATCAGTGACTCGCTACATGTACGGTCCATTAGCGACAAGTGCTCTCCATCAATTTGAAACCATAAGTCCCGAGTTTGTCTCTAGATCATCAATTATGAATGACACAGGTAAATGCGCAATAAAAATAATCTGACAGCCAGCTGTATGATATAGAGGGATTATTTCACTGGCTGAAATGTCAGGCGATAGTGAGTATATCGTATAAAGATTACCAGAAATGTTTGAAAAAGATTCTCATCTTGAGATGTATTTTTCGTTTTACGCCCACAGTGTAAAGCGCATTTAATGCAGGAGTGTTTTGTTAGGGGGTGTTAAAGGTTGTTGTTGTATAACGGGTCATTAGTGGAAATCTTTGTCGTTTTCCCAGATGCACGAGAGGAGGGCGGTCCAAGTTGGAGAAGGTTGCTGTATGATTTCACCCAGGAAACGACCTTCCATGGTGTTCGGTATATCACGCTTAGGACCCGCTATTCACTCCGCAGGTAAGCGACGTTTGTTTTATACACCCGCCCAAGATATCAGAATATAGTCCAGGCATTATAGATTTTTACATTTACAACACTACAAATTTTTAAGAAAACGTTTTAGTGTTTACATTATGTTCAGTGCAAATGTAACGCAACAATGCAACGGAATGTACTTTTAGCCGTGCATTTCCTTGGGACTTCGAACAAACAAACTGCCACATTCTCTTATAATATTAGAGGGTAATAAACGCGACCTTCGGGTGTTACATAAAAGTGGATTTCTAATATGATCAGCTTTATATGACTTAGAGACACTGTTCTGTTCATATTATCTAAATTGTCGCAGTTGTAACTAAAAAGAGAACATGACATGGGTCAACGCGGCGTACGACAAACATTTCTGTCCTGCAGAGCAAAATACACAAAATATAGACTATTTCGACGTGCAAAAATATGGCTGACGTTTTTTTTTCTTCTTGTGTGTGTGTGTGTGTGTGTGTGTGTGTGTGTGTTTGGTGTACATAATTTTTTTATATTTATTGACCTTGTCTGTATTTGAGTACCATTTAATTTTAATTTTAAAAAAGACAAATAATGCCCAGCGATAAAACCACATTTTTATTTCATTTATTACACATCATGCTTTACATTCTGCCATTGTACCGGTTAAGTAAAGGTACATGCAACGCACATTTCTTGCATATATAAAGAGTTTTGAATAAACACACAAGGTAATTAATTAATTTATAAATAGATAATTTAATAAAATTTGTTAAGTGCATATTAATATCACAAACTGAGTTAGCTAGGCAGGGCGTAAAGCGGACAGTGATTTCGAATAAAAAAAATTGTATTTGGGAAATGTATGCCAAAATATAACCCGATTTGCTATGCGTGCCACCAGATCAGTTATAATAATAATAATAATAATATTTATTTATAGTCTACAATCCAACATGTGTTCAGTAGACTTTACAAAAATTATAAAATTCAAATTAAAAGAAAAATATTGCTAATGCTTATAAGATGAAAAAAAGGAAAAGGATTAACTAAAACTATGACTAAGAACAGTTTTTCTTAAGACGTGTTTTTTCAAGAATTTAAAGATAATATTGTTTAAAAAGGTGTTTATTGTTTAAAATGTCCAGGGTCCACAATTTGTCTAAGACTGATGGGTAAAATATTCCATTCTTTTGGTGCTGCAAATTTAAAAGCTTTATCACCGTATGATACTAGTCTTGCCTTATAAGCCTTAAGAAGAAGCTGATCACCTGATCTGAGATTTCTTGATGGCACGTAGTGTAAAACAAGCTCATTTAAATAAGTTTATATCAGTTAATTCTCCGACTGTGTTAAATCATCTATTAACATGGAACTCGCTCTGTTATCCTTTAACAATCAATAACAGGGAGTGGTAATGTCATAATAAACATCACAATTATACGGGTAATGATGAAATGTGTGATGCATGTGTCAATTTGGTTAAGTGAAGATGGCCGCAAGCCAACTCCTGGGAAGGGTCGTACAATGTACATGTATAGTCAGGGTATCAAACAGGCATTTTTTTATGTTTTTTGTTTTTTGTTTTGTTAAGACACAACACTCCTCTTAGTTGTCAAACGCAACAAGAAGTGCCGGGCTAAATGACTGTAAAATAGTTGTAGAATATTATATTTCTTTCGCCAAATCTCACAAGCTCGCAAAATCAGTTGAATATAATTTTTCAGTGGGCGGCTATCAAAGTAACAGGTCATTGGTATTGCCAGTATAACGATGTACAAAGTCAGCTTGAGGATAAAGCGGAGTTAGATATAGGGTGGAACTTTTTTTGTTAGTTTCCAGTTACGTTAAATTTGTACATGCACGTGCTAGTTTAACAGTTTTCTTCAGGAATAATGGATGTAGAGTTAGAAGAAGGGTGTGTTTTAATGCGGATTTCATGTATTGCTGCATTTGAACGATATGTTGATAATTACACACAGCTGATTAAAGCAGCTCAAATCCCTTGGGAAATTTGTTTTAAGTGCAATACCTTGAATTGCACACACACACACACAGAGAGAGAGAGAGAGAGAGAGAGAGAGAGAGAGAGAGAGAGAGGGAGGGAGAATGATAGAGAGTCTGGTCTGTTCCTTTCCAGTTTTTTGTATTGCCGATCCTATTGTTAAATGCACTTACATGTACCAACATGTACATGAAACACAAACACACACACACACACACACTAAATATATAAATGTATAGATAAAATGGAAATGGAAATGAGAATCTAAATGTGTGAGAGTAGGCACTGTAACTCTAAATACCTAATAATGCCGTCTAAATGTGTCAACATTCTATTGATGAACTCGTACGTAAGTAGATGACAGTTTTGAGCTATCAAAATTATTCTTTCTGTTGTCTGGATATTGGCATGGACAAATGTCACAGAGGATAATTATTTTGTCTGCATTACGCGATGATTGCTACACACATGATGTGTAAAGAATCAATTTGATGACAACTTTTTGTAGGTAAATGTGATGCTATAATTTCACGCTCCATCAACATATACACATAAACACATGCAAGCGCAGTTCTGACGCGTTGCCATGAAATTACAGACGAAACAAAGCTGAACTATGGAGACAAAATTACAAAAGTGTTTTATATGCAACGACAGCGCTAGCTACAAGCAAATAAGGAAAATGTTATTTCTTTGACATTGTAGTGATAAATGCAGTTGTCACAGGGATGGCAATATGTTTACACTACTAATATCACCGCAGACATGACCCTGTATCGGGACATACGTAAAATACATCTTTCGGTTAAAAATACCGCAGTGAGTATTGAATACTAGTATATGAGTGAGTAGAGCATATTCTACATGAATAATTCTTCTTACAAAGAAGAATGTATTCGCTCAATGAAACTGAACCGTAATCTACCTCATCCCTACGCCTACAGCCTTCTTTAATTTATTTAGACTACTGATTTTTCTTTGGTCAAAGTCGACTTAGCCTAAGGCTGTATTCCCAGAGCTTTTAGATCGATCTATCCCCGCGGGGAGTCTCACTAGATTACTGTCAGATAATCCGGCTTAAATGTTCGTCCCGCCTACTACAACCTGTAAGGGGGTAATTAACTTTCGTGTCCGCTCGGCTGACAGCTATTTAGCGTGAACCCCCAGGGAGTTAGGTCGATCTAAAGTAGATCGATCTAATCTCTGGAAATGGGGAGTTAAATTCGACTAAAATGCTAATGGAATCTAACCATGTTCTCTTCATTAAATCTTTTCAGAATAATCTGGACATTTATTGTGCTTTCCGCTACGATATTCTTCTGCACTATCGCCGGGTTCAGAATTGCCTACTTCATGACCAACCCCAAGGTGGTCAATGTAGAAGTGATATACAGTGAGTCCCTAGACTTCCCCGCCGTGACCATATGCAACCAGAATCCCCTGAGGTGAAGGACGTTTGCGGCAATTTTCTTCTTTTTGGTTGACTTGACTTGGGTTGAATATAAATGATTGGTTGTCATTGTGAAGAAATGGACAATTTGGTTTTTCGTTATTAGTTGTCCAAATTACTTGTGAGTTGATGAATAGACCTTAATAGTCCTAATTGGTCTTACATGTATATACGTGGATATTTTGCCACTTTTCAGTGCACATTAGTAGAGAGTTTCAGCAAAAACAAGCACGAATATGCATATACTCACATATGTGCAAACAAGTTCTGGAACTTTTTGTTAGCAAATATAGAGTGCATATACAACATTGGTCAAAAAGGTTGTCCCACCCCACGGTATCTGTAATAAAAAGCACTATTTCTATCAATTTACAGCTGTGAGGTGATCATTTGTAAATAAAAGTTCATGGAAATGGGGGTGGGACAACCTTTTTGACCAATGTTGTATAAGAATAAACATGAAGTGACTATGCTTATATGCACGCACATGCAATCGCAAACATACCTACATACGCTTTCCTACTGGGTTTTGTTTGATACCGATGGTTTATCTATATTTTTTACATCTTTTGAAATATCAGGACTACGGCGACATTTGACTTGGGACTGTATGGCAGCATTCATGATTTCTACACAAAGTTCTGGCAAACGGAAGACGACTACAAAAGTAAGTTCATCTGTAAATATGCGAACAAGTATATATTATCGTGCTAACGCATGATAAACTGTTCGATGCACGTGGTACACGTGTAGACTATTTATGCAATAAAATCGCTCCTTTATATCATTAGTGAAGTGCCAAAAACGAATAGACGATAAGTCAATCGCGGAAAATGTCATTTACCGGCATTTTACAAATTTTTGATATCGAATATATTTTTCTTTGTTAATTGTTAATGTATTATGTATATCAGTCTATTGCATATAAAATTTGTATCACGATTTTCACATTTTCTGGCAACACAAGCTGATTTACATGCTTTACGCACTTTCTTTTTCAATTGTGAAAAAATCAAGTCATCCTTTGCATATAGAAAGGTCCTCAATCATAAATTATAATAATAAAAATCTTTATTAGTTCTAGCACAATTTTACAAAGGCTATGACCAAACAATGTCATACCGTACTTGGATTAAGAATGTGTACATTTACCCCGTGGACCATTTGAAGATTACACTGCGATTAATGCGGTGGAAAATACAATAGAGAGAGTGTATAATGATAGGGTCGCTAAACGATTGTTGACGGCATATAGTAACTGGTACCATATTGAGATGGGTTAATACTTAGTGTTTATACTTAAATGTACTAGTACAGGTAAGTGCTGTTATACACCCATTATCAGAGGTGAAAATTATACAACTTGACACATTCTGTATTTTCACACACACACACACACACACACACACATACACACACACACACACATATTATGTGCATTAAACCTAGTTCAGTTACTTAAAACGCTTTCAGTTAAGGCATCGATCTTTTGCGACACGAAAAGAGTTTGGTTTAGTCAACTTTGTTTTCTTTTTCTGACTTCCTTTTCCAGGTCCCGGATGTAAAGACCGTTTCAAAATCACGACGGACAGGACACTCAAGCGCCGTGGCGACGACATCAATTATAGAATTATAAAACGTGTGCCATCTCGTGTTTGCCAACGAGCTTGCCTCCGATTTTCTGAGTGGAATTGCAACTCATTCGTCTATGATAATGACTTAAAAGAATGCAAGATAACTGCTCTGAACGAAAGAACCGAAGGAGTGGATCTTGTGTTCAGTCAGCAAGAGGACTACTATGATCGAATTCGTTGTGATGGTGAGCACGTTCACAGGGTCTTGTTTCAAAAAAATGGATCAATCCTTTCTTTTAGGGGTCGTTACGAGTACAAAGATATCTTAGTAATTTGGATTGTAAATAACTAACATTTACTACACTAATGACTGAAAGTAAGTACCAAATGGGTTTTTGGTCCACCGTGTGTTTTCAACCTTTTGTTTTTTCTACTTTAGATGAAACGCCGACGGAGTGTGATTTTGACAAGGACCTGTGCAATTTCCTGCAAGACGATGCGGGTTGGGAGAGAGGTCAAGGTCGGAGCACACTGGGCATGTGGACTGGTCCACTGGCTGACCACACCTCTGGCAAAGGTAAGCCTATACCGCAAGGAAAACTGGTGCATGCATCTTTACCTGGCAAGTGCCACAATCTCTAAAGTGTTTTAATATACATGTCAGCACTGATACAGAAACTGTTTTTCTTCCAGCAGAGAATCGCTTTTTGACTTCTCAAACTCGTTGATTTTACAGGCCATTTTCTGTACCTGAACGAGCCGAAAAGGATAGCACGTCTCCGATCGCCTACGATCCAGTCTACAGACCCACGCTGTATCCAGCTGTTTTATCATATGTTCGGGGAAGAGGTGGGGCATCTCAGAATATACGCCCAGTCTCCCGATGGCACCAAGGAAGAGGTGTGGAGGAGAAAGCGCAACCAGGGTCTCGGATGGCAGAGGGCGTTTGGAAAGATACAGCCTGGACTTTATGAGGTACGTACAGTGTACATTATGTGAATGGTCATGCAGTTTCGTTTCTCATTCTCGCACGCTGCTGCAGGTGAAGGTTTCACAAAGTATTTCATGGATATATTCGTAAACGTTTTTTGTAAACAAGGACAGTTATGCGCCACACATGTTTTGCTGTTGCTTCAGCTCTAGAGCGTCGAGTTTTGGTAATCGGAATATACCTTCTATAACAAGAAATCATGCTTAACAAAACATCAAGTAAAATATTTTACCACTAAATGTTTAAGTCACACGGTCAATGGCTTTGATAAACCTAGTTGACATAAAACCTCTTCTTTTATTTATATTTATTTCTTTGGAATAAATGTAATGTATACATTACATACACTATTTGATTAAATTAATTATTTCATTTTAAATCTGCCAACAGGTTATTATAGAAGGGAATGGAGGAAGAGGCCCGCGCAGCACTATTGCAATAGATGACGTTTATATTGACGTGTGTTCTAATGTGGGTGAGTTAGCTATGTTATGTTGTAATTGTTTATCGCGGGCGAATCTAGGTCATCAGTTATTATTATTATTATTATTATTATAATTATTTGCCAATTTGTTTTGTAAATGTATGGACGGTGGGTGAGGCCACACTTATCTCTCCAATTTAAGTATCAGATAAGTTATCTATTTATATTATATCAAATAAATACAAGCATTGATTTGCTACTCTTACCGGTGATCTGCACATTGCATCATTCAATGACCAACTTTTAAAATATTATCCTAATTTAGCTTACTGGCGTTATTTAACTAATGTGGATGCAAAACCTACTCGTTCACTGTTATATCAGGGTTTTCAAAAACATGGCATATATTTTCCATATATTCTTTATAACAGAACGGGACTGCAAAGTCACAGCATCCGGGGCTTACTATCAAGGTCACCGTGACGTCACCAGGTCTGGAAAGAAGTGTCAACGTTGGGATTCCCCATCAGTCCGTCAGTATAATATGACAGACGCAAGCATTTTTCCGGACGAGAAGATTCAAGATGCTTCGAACTTCTGTCGTAATCCGAGGAATTTTTCGACAAGTCCATGGTGCTTCACTGTAGAAAAGGATTCTGTATGCGAGCCGTGTGAAGTGCAGATTTGTCGTAGGTTTTATTCTTTAGTTTTTTAATATATTATTATCGATCATTTTTGGATTAGACAAAGTCAAATGGCTGTCAGTAGCTTTCAACGGTTTTATGGGGATATTTTTGCTGATGAACTGAAAATTTAAGTTGTTTAACCCTCAATCACCTTTCAGGGGCCTCGCAGGCCCGGACCCATGTATCTTTTGCTCTCTCTTCGTTGGTTTTGAGCCTGTTCTGAGCCTGTTTTGAGCCTGTTCCTTTCATGTAATCCTCAAGCAACTTATACCCCATCAACGGATAAATAATTAGTTTTGAAATAATTTACAACATATGTAGAAATTAACTTTTCCAAAAGTTAGTCCCATTTCCTGGAAACCGGGCCTCTTAGGCCCGGTCGCTTGATAATTTTACTTCCACATGGGATAAATAAGTCCATGTTACCTCAAATAGCTTTGCTATAAAATGTTTTACACAAGCAATATCATGCGTGTTATGACTATCAGTATGGTCAATGAAATCTGCCTGTGAAAGATTCAAGACCTGGAGAAATTATTATTTATGAGTAATCGGTCATCTTGGTCCCCCGATATGCAGATATCAGTTTAAATCTATCATTATTACATACCTGATAGACTGCGCTACCTTTGTGAAACTTTCCATTTTGAGAAAAAAAAACTTTTTCTGCATTTTCCATACACAGTGTACACTCATGCACCCAGGTGGAGGTAAAGGGAGCAAGGGACTGGTGTAACATGAAAATCTGACTCCCCCAGTCAGATTTTCATAATGAAAATCTGACTCCCCATGAAAATTTGACTCCCCCACCACAATTGTTCATAAATCTTATTTTATTTGAGTATATGACTGTGATATGTAGTAAGTAAAATGGAGGATACTTTGGCACTTTTTTAAGTTTGCAGGTGAATATTTTCATGAAAAAAATATGAAAATTAAAAATGTGCACTTAACCGCCCATTGTCTCCCCTTTGAAAAAGCTATTTATTTGATATTAGATGATCATTTCTACATCTTTCCTTTAAATTTACTTTACTTATTNATGATTCGAAATTAACAATCAGTTCTGTCAGTGTTAAACGCACAACATGGGCGGTGGATTTCAAGATAGGCACTGAGAATGGAACTCCACAGTCCAAGTTTTCGGTTACCTCTTTTTCAACGCACTAATTAAAGTAGCATATTAGTGTGGTCATAAATATAGCACAATGATAAATTTGCATTTATTTGTCTTTTAGCTTGCCGTGACCACGAGTTCCAGTGTGATGTCTGCATTAGCAAAATGGATGTGTGTGATGGAAAAATGGACTGTAAAAACGGAGAAGATGAGAAACAGTGCGGTGAGAATCTTTACTCTTTAAATTTCATATTGAACAAAAATACAGATACACGTTTAGCCAACGCGCAATCTAAATAACGCGTGATCAAACGTGGTTTTGGTGTGCAAAGGACAATATATTCCGTCTGATATCAATAAATAAGACATCCTCGACACTGTAGAATAAAGAGAAAGTAACCTGTCCTGTTCCCTACAAGCCTACACTAAGACCGCTTGTATATGTACAAATACCTGTATATACACCTGCCCTTCTGTTAGGGAACCCGATGGATTCAAATAACCTTAATTTATATTTGGATGAAATGTGTATAATAAAATTAAAATTAAACTCAAAATGATGATACCCTTTTTTTAGCAATCCGTTTCATTTGGGGCATAGGAAACATGTACATATGACATCTGCATATTACTACTATGGCAAAAATATGAATGACTAAACTGACCGATATGAGGTGTTATTGCCAGAGTTAGTGGATTTAGTACCAATTATTTGCACTGTTTCTCGACTATTTCTACCTACACCACGTGCACTGGTAGGACCAGAATTTGTCTAAAGAGACATGAGGGCACAATGATCAAAATACCAGCTCCATAAATGTTAATTAGTGCACAGTCAAATAAAGAAGATAAATTGTAATAAATTCTTACACTGCAAGGGAATGTGGAATTACTGTATATAAAGTCTCTGAAAAGTGCTCAGTCTATTAAGAAGAAGAATATCAGCCCACAAGCATGGCAAAATCATTTTTACGAGTTATTAAATGAAAATGTAAATGACATAGAAAAGAGCCTCATAACATATATCGAACAATATACTGAATGGTTTGAGCACCTACAGCCTTTAAACAGTTGCAATACTCTAAATGAGCCATTTACTATGGATGAACTATCAAATGTTGTACGCACCATGAAAAATGGAAAATCTCCAGGTCCAGATGGATTAGTGATTGAAATGTTTAAATATGGCTTCAACTATTTATCACCATTGTTATTGAATCTTTATAATACTGTATTAATAAGTGGAAAATTTCCCTCTAGCTGGTGCAATGCCATTCTGTACCCATTGCTCAAAAAAGAAAATGTAAATGTGGCACCAAATTATAGAGGAATTGCGGTTTTGAATGTCATGGGGAAAATATTTATGAACGTTTTGAGTAACAGATTTAATAATTGGGCAGTGGAAAATTATACAACGATTGAAGCTCAGGCCGCCTATAAAATTGGTTACTCCACTGTCGATCACATTTTTACATTGCAGGGTTGCGTACAAAAATACTTAGGCCTAAGTCGAAGAAAAGGCAGATGCTACTGTATTTTTATAGATTTCTCAGCCGCTTTCGATAGTGTTCAACACAAATTATTATGGTATGTACTTGCAAAAAACCGTGTAAATGGACCCGTCGTCACAGTTTTACGCTCTATGTATTCCCAACTGCAATCATGTGTTCTAACAAATTTAGGCCTTACTGAGTATTTTAAGTGTAACATGGGCACTCGACAAGGATGCATATTAAGTCCTTTCTATTTACATTATTCATAAATGAATTTTATCATCGTTTGAACAAGGCTGGATGTCAGGGTGTTTACATAAATGAGGTGTTTCCAAATCTCACGTCTTTGCTTTATGCTGATGACATCGTATGCATTTTAGACACTGTTGGGGGGTTACAGAAACAAATTCATCAATTAGAAAAATATTGCAGCCAGTATGGTATGCTAGAAAATGTCCAAAAGACAAAAATAGTAGTATTTAGGAGAGGCGGTAAAATAAAGAATAATGAAATGTGGTTTTCAAGGGCAGAAAATTAGAAGTGGTACCTGCATATAAATACTTAGGAACATATTTTGGTGCCTTCCTCGGTTGGGGTAAAACTATCCAACATCAAATCAACCAAGCCAATAAAGCATTATTTGTTTTTAAGTTATATTTGAAGAAACAAGCATGTATTTCCTTTAAGGAAGCTTTCTTTCTTTTTGATAGAATGATAACACCCATTTTTTTTCTATGGTGCTGAGATATGGGGTTATAAACCAGTACAAAGTATTGAAATCTTCCAAGCAAAATTGTGTAGATATTTATTAGGTGTTAGTTCAAATACTGTGACGGAAGCTGTACTAGGCAAATGCGGAAGATATCCATTGTATACCAATTATATGGTAAATAGCATTAAATATTGGTTAAAGCTTGTACATATGAATAAAGATCACTATCCTGCTCATGTATATGATATGCTACTTAAATTAGATTCAAGTGGAAGGCACACTTGGGCCACAGATGTTAAAACGCTGTTATACAGATATGGTTTTGGGTATGTCTGGGAGGCTCAGGGTGTGGGAAATTCTGTTTTATTTATTAAAGTTTTCAGAAAAAGATTGGTAGATAATGCTGGCCAAAAATGGCACAGTGACATATGTAGGAGCAGCAAACTGGATACTTATTCATTATTTAAGAGTACGTTAACACTGGAGCGTTACTTATTAAGCGTTAAAAATGTAAAACACAGAACCTCACTAGCAAGATTCAGATGCGCAAATCACCAACTAAATATTGAGAGCAGTAGATGGAGAGGTATAGAAAGATGCAATAGACTCTGTTTAATCTGTAAAAAAACACAATATTTATGATGTTGAAGACGAATACCATTTTAATGACATGTGTAGCATATACAGAATAAAGAGAAAAATATCTGCAAGTGAATAACCTTAATAAATAATTTTTTAAAGATTAATGACCGCAAAAAAACACAAATTTAATCTCTAGTCTAGCTGCTTATATATGTAATGTTTTTATATTAAGAAAAGAAATTTTGGATCACTGACAATAATGAATAATCCTTAATACTTCTAATGGACTTTACTATTGTGTACTATGGGCCGGAGGCCTTGAAAAACTGAATAAATTATTATTATTAGATAAATTTTAGGGTTTTAAGATTGTGGGGTCGTTTCTTTGTCAAACAAATATAGCCTCACAGAAAACGTGACTTAATTAACCCATTGCTCGTATTAATTTACCCAAGTGAAGAATGGGATCGCTTGTTTACCGGATTAGAATTGTTCCTTTGAAATTGTTTATGTAAGAAAAATATGGCCTTTTAATACCTGTTTCTCCACAGAATTCAAGAACTGTGATTTCGAGGATGGAACGCTGTGTTCTTACCATATCACCCCTGGGGAGAATGGTTATACCTGGAAACTCAACTCAGGCTCGACACCTTCTTCAGAGACCGGGCCGTTTATGGATGCTACCAAACAATCTCCAGAAGGTAGGCAATGCCTCTCCTTTTGTCCAATGATTGTAAGAGCAACAAAGCCTTTATATACTATGTCTGTATATAGATCAAGTATTGGATCATTAATCATAGCTCTGCTCAATGAAGTCCCTGACAAGACACTGTATTCGACTTTGCTTCTCTTGCAGGCACTTTTATATACACAGAGGCTTCGAAGGGAGTGGAAGGTGAAATAACTACCCTTCGCACCTCTCCCAAGAGGGGAACCCATGATGCCAAAGCATGCCTCCGCTTCAATTACCACGCGTTCGGCTCAAACCTAGGCGACCTGGCCATCTACGTCCAAGAGGAATCAAGGCCAAAGCGCAAACTTTGGGAAATGCGCAGATGGAGGACATTTCATGCCTACGTCGAACTTGACGAAGGCCGTTGGTTTCCCTTTTCTGTGGAATTTGTAGAAGCCCCTTCCTATGTTATTCTGTTTGAAGCATCACGTGGTGATGGTTTCCGTGGTGACCAAGCACTGGATGATATCACAATTCGTGAAGGCAAATGTGATATTCCAGGTATACACTTTGGGTAAATATGTGTATGTTTGACTGAATTTACTAGTGTGTGTGCGTGCCGTGGTTAACGTTTGTGAATGCGATTGCGCATTCCCAGCAAGCACAGAACGTTTTATAACTTTACTATATAACGTGGCTATAACGTTTTTTGGTAAAATTAACGTTATGGTAACGTTATAATAACGATATGTGTTTGCTGGGTATGTGTTCATTGTAAATATTTGTTTGGCCTTATATATCCATAAAATACCCATTAACCCATATTTGACTTATGTTGAACTGTGCTTCATGTTTACTGTTAGAAGTAAAATATCTACTTGAAGGAATTCATCTAGGAAATGAAGTTTATAATGGTGAATTCCTTGGCGGAATTTAAATGCCATAGTTGTATTAAATGCCGTGTTGTGACTAAGGAAATATCAAATAAATGTGTCAAGCGTAAATTGGTTTGAAGATATTTCATAATTTCTGACGTAGTACCGCTGCCAGTGGCAGCGAGCGGATGCAACCATTGATGTCATCATTTTAACAAGTAACTGTGTATGTCGTGATACCAGCATTACCTGTCTGAGGCAGTAGCAGGAACCAATTTCACAAAATTCCCTTAACAAACTCGTTTTAACATATACACGCACTTTTTGTATTTATACCCAACATATAACAGAAGTAACCTTAAATTCAGTCAAATTTATTTGCACCTATTTTATAAAAATGGTGTTGCTTATAATTAACACCTATATTGAAATGGTTAACTTAAATTAATGTTCTACTATTATATAGTTTTACCTTGTAACTCATAGATTGTGAATGGTACGAATATCGCTGCGACAACGGGCTATGCGTTGATATAGCTTTCCTCTGTAACGACGATAATAACTGTCTTGATGAGAGTGACGAGGGACAACAGTGCTGTGAGTACATAAACTTCTGCACTTCGATGGAATTGGTCTTATTCTTATTTCTTGTTTGTTTTTTCTTATTTTATTTTATCGTATTGCATTGAATTAATTTGCAGACAAAACTATAAGAGATTTTCCGAACCGTCAAAAGTTATCTTAAGTTCCTCTTAATTCGTACTTACCCCTGTAGCTTTAATGCATTTTGTTTGCAGGTAAACAAGTAAGTTAGTTTCGAAAGGGAATAGTAAATGACTCACAGACCAACATGCAAAAGGTCATTTTTTATAGTGAAACATGGAGCCTAGCAGTCTTTACAATTTCTCCAAGGATCACTGCAAGGCCAGGGTTTGGGGTGGGGAGGGCGTGAAAGTCAAGATATTTTTCAAATATAATCAAGTTTAGTGTTTTTATTGTGATAAAAATATAATGTAGATTGTTTTGAACTTCCTTATTTGCCAAAATATGTTATATATCTTGATAATATACATATATGTGTTTATTATTTCTTACCAGACGGAAAAGGAGACGAATGCAAGTTCGAAACCTCAAAGTTATGTGGATACACAGTTGCACAAGGAGGTGCACAGTTTACATGGGCTGCCTACACATTTTCACCATATCTTTCGGATTGGCAAAAACCTGCTAACTCTTGGTACACATACACCGATGACATCATAACTGGGTTTACCGGGACGGGGCCGAGGTCGACAGGAACTCAAGGTGCAATTTTAAATTCAATCCATTCACAGTCATTTGATATGACAAACCTTTTGATGTGAATTTTTATTTCAAATCCGTACTGTTGATCATTGACTTTGAGTATAAGTTTTAATTCAAAACTGAATTTTGAGTTATTTCGAAGGTGAAAAATCCAAAGTCCAAAATCCAAAAACAATTCCCCCAAAACAATATAGTTAACATATCCAGTTGTCAGCCAGCTCCTCATACTTTTAAACAATTCTCCCAAAACATTCTTGTGAACATAACCAGTTGTCAGCCAGTTCCTCATACTGTTAAACCATATACCATGCCTGCTGCTTAATTATTACCTTACGCCCATTGAATATCTAAACGTACCGGTAGTTAACCAGCCGGTTAATCACACTAATGGAATCGAATGTGATAGAAACATAATTATAGTCCGTGTCAACTTCAATTATAAGGTACCTTCATGGCCGTTGATAGCAAGAATGGCACTGCGGGCGCTGAAAGTATCCTTTCCTCTCCAATTATCAATACAGACAACGAAACGTGCCTGCACTTTAGCTACCACATGAACGGACGCAACATGGGAACGCTTAGGGTGGTTCAAAAGTTTGCGAACAAAACAGAAGTCAACTTGGCGACGTTGATGGGCCACCATGGATTAGATTGGCTGAATCACTCTGATTCTCTTGCACCGGGGGAATTTGAAGTCCAGTTCATAGCGCGGCGAGGCGATGGAATAACTAGCAATATGGCCATCGATAACGTCAGGCTTGAACTTGATCTTTGTCCAGAAGTTGGTGAGTAAAAATGCAGCTGGGGGTAATGAAAGGGGTAAAATGTTGAAATTATATTTGCTGAGTCCTTACACTGAAAACAAAGGGTCATCAAAATTGACTACCTTAAGGTCATCAAATGAGCATACATAAAACGAGGACCCAGGTAGTCAAAATCTGTATTTTATGACCTTGCAAGTTCTTCATATCCAAACTGATGATTACCCTTGGTAGTCATTTGATTACTTGGGGTGTCAAATTAGGTTGATGCATTCTTGCGGTTTTGGTGGAAGTCAGGAGTGCTAGCAACTTTCATTTACCGTTGGCCTGCATGTAATTGATGTGTTTTAGATAAGAGTGCTACAGTATTTAATAATGTTGCTCAATAATTGTAGTGGCACAGGAAGCCTGAAACAGGATTTAGTATGAAAAACCAAGTGTCTGAAACCAAATGTATCTATAAAAATGGCGTAATTTTCCAAACCTGAACCACAACAAGCATTGCTGCAAAATGCCGTTCGATGCTTCACCGAACAACCCACATAGCAAGAGAGCATTGGCCCAACGCATGATTGGCTGTACGATCAATATTGGCCCAACGTTGAAAAGCCAACCAACAGCGTTGTGCCAATTTAAGCCCAACGTATGGTTGTTCATCGGCACATCGTTGTACAGACGTTGGCCCAATGCCAACCATAGGCATTGGGCCGAGGTCATGCTGCCGATGTTCTGCCAACGCAAATTAGTGTCTTCTGAGAGAACTCAGCCAAGCCGGAGGTGAGTCCATTAGAACACACGGAGGAGAAAACCGTTTTAACCCAGGGGCGCAAGAGGGAGGGTATACGCCTAAAAAGCTGTAGATGTGACTATCATCATTTATTGACACTAGATATGGTGTGCACATGCATGCAGCTCTATTAAATTAGGTCAAGGCAGAGGCACATAAATCCCACAACATCATACACAGCCATTTGGACCTCAAAAACACATTTAACTTTTTACTCACAGTAATTATTTATGTTGCATTACTATGGTGGGTCACATTTTTTTTCCTATCTTGGAATGCCCAAACCGAAAATTCCGCCAAAAGAGCGCACGTGACAGCACTAAGCAATCCAGTAGCTTCAGTGACTGCGATCTATATTTAGACTCGCCGCTCTCAGCCACTTAAACACCCACGGTCGTCATACACACAGTACCGGTACGCTACGCAGTGACGGCTTTGGCGATATAACATGTTGAATACCCTCCAGGGTAATTAGATCGGCTGAAATGACGACCCTTCGCTTTCAGTGTAAATATATTGTCCATTAAAATTTTTCAATTATTTTGAAGCTTTGGTATGTATTCCTATCAAAACATGTCTGCTATGTCTGTAATTGTTGATTTATTTCTTATCTTCAATTTATACGTTACGTATTTCATGTGTATAGTTTTATTCATTCAGACGCAGTTTCGATATCGTACATGTACGATATAGAATATAGAATATACCATTGTATGGCTACCAGCCGTGTTTAAGGATGATGGGTGCTGTCGCCAGAAATCGATTTTAGTATGCTTACAGTCTTAAATCTAAACGCGTTTATCTTATTCAATTAATACAACGTTTTCTTTCACTCAGATTTTTTTACCCTGGCCAGAATTAATATGTTTCTAAAAGTGATGTATGTGGAATTTTAATGTATTCTTTGTCAATTTGTGAATTATATATATAGAAAATTGTCAGTTGATAAATACATGTATTTAGAAGAAACTCATACATGTAATTGTTATATAAGTGAAATTCAAAATATTGTTTTGTAACTACGCACGTTCAGTAATACGATATCATATTGAACACTGTCTAAAGATCGAAAAGCACTTAACGAATTTTTATACCCCCGTACAATACTTGATTTGGTGAATTGTGAATGGGGCTTGTAGTCAAATGTTATCCACGGAATGTGATTATCCACATTTTAGTAATTTGTATGTGCATGGCAATATACATGTATATCAAGCTATATATTAAGAAAGTGTCATCTATTCCGTTGACGCTTGTAAATTTCACCAGTGGAATTGATCTTAATTCTACCAGTGGAATCAGTTAACTGCACATTTGAAGACAGCTATTTATGTGGCTACATCATTGCGTCATCATCTGAGTCGTTCGTATGGATAAGAAACAATGGACCAACATTTACAGCGAAGACGGGACCGAATGCTGACCATACACAGTCTCAGGTACCAGGTGCGTCTTTTAAATTGATTATTATAACTGTATCGATATTTTGTCTTCATTTCCCATTGACCATATCCATTTATTAGATGTGCAGCATTATTTATTCAGCAGAGTTAAAGTTCGGTTCTTTTATACCGGGAAACATATACATTCAGCGCGGTTAACAATATAGTTATGGTGCAATACCATAGAAAACAATTTTGGTGAAATTTTACAATGGACGCCTGGTCAATTTTAGCCAAGATACAGGGTATTGACACTTTCTCGCCTCCCTGGGGAGGATTCAGCAGTGTTAATCAAAATAGTTGTATACAAATTATTTGTTACCAAATGTTTGACATGTCCGCTCATCTGCAGGCATAAACATGCACAATGTTTACTATTACAGAAAATGAAAGCAGCGAGTGTGCCGACGGAAATTACCAAGAATACAAAGGCCAGATGGCGACCACTTGGTTTGGTTCAGCATGTAAGCCTTGGTATGAGTCGCCCTCCTCTCTTTATAAACACCTGAGTGAAAACTACTGCCGTGCTGACGATGATGCTGACTTTGGGCCGTGGTGTTTTTCTTGGAATGGTGCTTATGGTGCCAACGGTGACACTTGGGACTACTGCAGGAATTTTTGCCCCGGTGAGCATAAACAATACATAAAAATAAAGTGAGCTCGTTTTCAACACTTCGCCCTCAATAGATGAACATTCATAAATACACGAATGAAATGAAAGTTTACTTTTCATCAAATCGTCTTACAAAAACGCTTTTTGAACATTTGTGTACTGATCGTGATATGTGACTACATTTTTCTAAATCCACAGCTTATTATTACAAGACAGTATAACATACAGGTATTTTTATGTCTGTTTATTACTATTTATATCTATTTGTGCAAAAACTTCTCTCTCTCAGTTTTCTGCTATAATACAAAACATGACTATTGTCGAAATCAAAGGTTTTTCTTAAATCCTCCTACTCCAGGTTATTATATGTATACCACATCCCACAGAGGAGAACAGGGGAGTACCACGACCTTGTCTTCCCCTCTCCACGATTTTCAAGGTAACACAAATCATTCCCTGGAATTCTACCATCACATGAAGGGTACTGACATTGGTACCTTTGAGGTCTTCTTACTGACAGATGATTTCCTAGTACAGCGTTTGGTTGAGATAAAGGGGAACCATGGTTCCGGTTGGGTGAAAGCTGCAGTAGCAATACCAAGTGTAACTGCACACCGTTCACGTGTTGTGTTTAGAGGTACACGTGGGGACGGCATAAAGGGCGATATTGCCATCGATGATGTTAGCTTAAACCAGGTGGAGTTCAATGCACAAGACGTGCCGGGTAAGAATTATTAGTTACAGTACGAAGATAGACGATGATTTTTATATGGTCACTTACTGTTAATTACCTTTGGAAACCTACAGCAGAGAATATTGCAGTTTGAATTTAGAAAATGGAATATCGATACCTTCACTGACATCATAGGTAGAATTTTTATAACGTGTTTCATTCCTTTCGCATTTTCATTTTAGGAACATCTTTGGGAAGCTTATTTTCAACGATTTTATCTAAACAAACTACTGGTTACATGTTTTAGAAGAAATGTTGTACTCCCAGATTTCTTCAAATCAAAGATTCCATTGCCTTCCTCTCATTACGATTTACATACAGCCCCCCCCCCCCTCGACACCCCCTTAATCCACCACTGTGTATCCTCTCACTTACTAATGCGATATTGGATATATTTTCAAGTTAGTGTAAAATTTGGGTCATTGCAGTTTATGAATGCATAAGCACCCATGTGGGATCGGAATACAGCGGAACAATTTCTTTGACGAAAAGTGGGAAAGCCTGCATGCCTTGGAGGTCGGACAGCGTCGTTCAGCGATTAAAGAAGCTTGGAGAGTTTGCCGTCTTCCCCGACAGTACGTTGATACAGGCAAATAATTTCTGCCGCAACCCTGACCTGAGAAAAGATGGACCATGGTGTTTTACATCCGACACGGACACAAAAGGGGAGAGATGCGATGTCCCTTTCTGCGGTATGATAGATTCCTGCTCTCCTTTTTCACAAGAACTCCATGCTACTGAAAATATCTTCACGTTGAATGATTGTCCTTAGTAGTGCATTGACGATATATTTTGTTCTGGAATTATCGATTACAGCCAAGGCGTTTTTCATTTTATTGATCAATTATATAATTATTATTATTTTATTTCTTGCAAAGATCTTGGCAAGTAAGCAAACGTGTGGACCGCACCTGTTGCTTAATTAAAATATCCTCATTTAACGAGAAAAAATTGATTGTAAAGAAAGGAAGATTGTATAACCAAACAAAATACACAATGTATCTCTTGATTACTCGCTTCACAATGGCATTGCTGTTTAAACGGGCACATTTTGTGCGGCGTTGAATACTTAATCTTAGCTTTGGTACTGTGCATTTTCGGCAGTATTTTTTCCGCAGTTTTTTTTTTTTTAAATTGTTTTATTACAGATTGTACTGAAGGTCAATTTCAATGCACAAACGGCATGTGTGTTGCCAGTCATTTATTATGCAACGGCATTGATAACTGTGGTGACAGGAGTGACGAAGAAACCCCTTGTAGTTCGTATCACTTTGGTATTTACATACTGTAGATTAAATATGTGTAATAGGAATTTACCTTTTCTTATTTCCAATTTAAAAAATATTATTAATAAATAATAACAATGGAGATCTTTTCCCACACTTAAAATCTGTAACATTCAAATTAATAAAACTCCTTCATGTTTATGATGAAATGCAATCATGCAGTTAATTGGTATTTCAGATCATTCTGTGGCTTGTGGATTTGAGGATGCGTACAGCTGTGGGTACTCAGTAAGGAAAGCAGGGAGTGCCTTCACTTGGACAAGAACAGAATATCATCTACCGAGCCTGAATACAAACCCTAATCTTACGTGTAAGATTTCAGGTAAGGCAGTATCTGGTTGTGTGTTTTTGTTTGTTTGTATAAAATGCAGTTTCACAGAAAATGAGTTATAGTATGCTCACTTCAAAAAGACTAATATCTTTGAAAAGCATTGACTCATAAATGTATTATTATTATTATTATTATTATTATTTATTTATTTATTTATTTATTTATTTATTATTTTGCAATGGTAAAAATTTATTGGTAACTGTTTTTGTAAATTTAAATTATCTGTCGGTTTAGGATCTGTCATGATTGCTGACGCCTGTGGGTTTGCCAGTGGAGTTGCGGAACTGGTGTCACCCCCTATCAACATTTCCATGCCACACTGTCTACACTTTTGTTACTACATAGATGGGTTGGGGACCTCAGAGCTCAACGTTCTCCAGGAAAGAGCATCAACAGTAAGTACTTATCTTTGCTTGGAGCAATTAACACCTGGCTTCTTTTTGTAAATACCCTGCTGCTGCCACACACACACACACACATACACACACACTTCATAATAAGACATTAAGAAAAATTGTCCACTAAAATATTGGTTAAAAATCCCAATGCTGTTGTCGTTGGAAGAGCAGTTACCATTTGTTTGCATGTACTAGTATTTTACATCTGACATGATGTATTGGCGTTTCAATATATATCGTCTCTAATACGGCATCAGTTTAACGTGAAAATTATATAGTGCAATAACTTTTGTCTTTGCAGACTTCGGGGAACAAGCACGGTGTTATTCGTAAAAACTTGTTCTTCAGCACCGGGGAGCCGGTAAACCAATGGCTCAGTGATGTCGTCCAGTTACCAGCTGGACAGTACAACGTCATATTCCAAGCCAAACTTTTTAAAGATAGCATAAGTCAAAATAGAAAAATCTTAAAGAGTTGCCCCGGAACACTGGCAGTGGATGAGGTGGCAATTGTGCCTGGAATATGTAAAGATCAGATCATATGTCCAGATCTCCCACCGTGTAGTGATAAAGGTAGGTTCATGGACATATATGGACATTGTGAGAATCTAGCTTAACAGCTCCCATCAGAACATTTGGCCTATAATCTCAAATGAAATGGATCATTACAATTACCTTACCTTGTACCTATAAAAACGTTAGCCAACAAGGTTAAGCATTATGAGAATTTAGCCTAACAACTCACATTAGAATATTTGGCCTCACCTCACCTCAGTATGAAATGGATCATAATATTTATATAACGTGTAAAGGTATAAATTTTAGCTAACAAGGCAGTAAAGGTTAAACTGGACGGTACCGAACTACCGGGCATCTGAGTATCAGTTCGAGAAAGTTAGAATTCAGATGCCAACTTTAACAAACAAATTAAGTACTTGCGTCAGAATCATACTGTCTTATATATCTGTATTTCTACGATTTCTACTCAAAGTACTCAATCGTTGTTTTAGGATTTTGTAAATTATCTAGTTTTGCTGATCCAGCTTAACCATTCGGCTGTTTGTCATCATTGCAGCACAATTAGAATGCCTCCAAGACCGCCATGGCTCCAATTACATAGGGCATAAGAATGTGACCCGTGACGGTTATGATTGTCAGCGCTGGGACATGCAGTCTCCACACAAGCACCAGTTTCAAAGACCGAGTGATTTCCCAGATGCCTCGGTACCGGAAGCCTCAAACTTCTGTAGGAACCCGGATGCGAAACCAGCTGGTCCATGGTGCTATACAACTGACAGAACCATAGAATGGCAACCGTGTGATATCCCCATCTGTGCCGGTACTGTATGCTATAAATGTTGTTACATCGTCATTCGAAAAATGTCGGCGGATATTTACATGTTTTACCATAGAATGTACCCTGTATTGATTTATTAATTTGCTTTAAAATGAAAGTTTTACCAGTTAACTAAATAATTTGTAGACAGTCCGTAAATAGCAGCCTTTTCAAGACAGGCGCTATATGAATGCAATTTTCTCCATGCTTCGAAATCTTTGCCAGATGTCCATTCTATATTTCAGCGTGCGGGGAACAGTTTCAATGTAAAAGTGGCCAGTGTCGTTCAGTGGAATTAAAATGTGACGGGGACCCTAACTGTGGGGACTGGTCTGATGAACACGACAGTAACTGTCCGACAGGTGACTTATTTTTAACCCTACAAAATATGAGAAATGCTCCACATATCATCAACTTCAAACGCTACTGGAACTCTTTTCTAAAGAACGTGTTTTACCTTCTTCAAAATCCCTTGCTCGCATCACTGATATGTCGATGTTGGCTTACTTACCGTAAATTCAATGTCATATTCTTTGTCATATTCACATAAAAGACACTAAAGAATATACATTTCATCGAATTTACAATATACATTTCATCGAATTTTCATCGAATTTACAGGGGGAATAAGAATGATCTAAATGATCTATCCTTTTTCTTCATTAACAATATTTTTACATTTTGTATTTCTTTTCCTTTTCTTTGCTCGAAACGCCAGGATCAACGTTAATCGGACCCGGTGCTACGTACACCGGTACATTAAACGTCACAGGAAGTGGGAAACCTTGCATGAATTGGGCCCAGCAGATAGCACGACGTGACAACATGATAAAGTTTGGTTTAGATGTGACGGATTTTCCCGACAAGAGCATAGAAGATGCTAAAAACTATTGTAGAAACCCGAACCAGGATCCCAAAGGACCATGGTGCATTACCTCTAAGAGATGGGATATCGATTATTGCGATATCCCCCGATGTAAGTTATTGTTTAAAATAGCTTTGATTTTACCACCAGTTAATAAAGGTCGCTGCAACAGTCAATATGATATTGCACCAAACGATTTGTTACCAAATAGCCTCAAGACAGGCGGATACATGTACTTACACTGCACGTAGCGTATATCACAAAAAACGCTCTCTCTCTTTCCCAGCTTGTACATCGACTGAGTTCGAATGCGACAATGGAGTATGCGTTCATGAAGAAACTCTGTGTGATGGAGAAAATGACTGCGGTGACTTAAGCGATGAAATTAAACCATGCACAGGTATGAACTAAGAACTAAGAATGGGCTTAGGGATGATCACTCTGCAAACGATTTTGGAGATTGTGGCAGTTAAAATTATTTTTAATTATCAGGAAATTCTATTTTTAAACAATTGCAATAGTTATATTATCAAACAAAACAAAAAAAATTGTTTGGCAATGTAATTGCAACCAAGGATTGCCTCCATGGGCACTGAAAAGATAATATTCTACACGCGAAAACAATCATCATCATCATCATTCCTCTTCGTCCCGTGTGGGACATAAGGCCACGAAAACAATCATAGGCCGCTATCAAACACAAATAATACAATGAAGCAGTTTAACGTTCTCGAGGTACCTTCATCGCAATAGTTAATATTCTGTTATATCTAAATGTATGTATATGCAACTTTTTTTAGACCAAATGTCAGCCACGTGTAACTTCTTAACCAAATACAACTGTGGTTACCGGGTTTCCCCTGTTGGCCGCTCATTGTATAAATGGGTACCTAAGTATAATACTGAAGCAGGTTGGTACTTTTTTTAGTATTCTTTCTATGTCGTTTCGTTATTCTAATAACATTGTTCAAAATGCTACTGTCTTCGCGCTGCTTTATATAGGGAATAGATGTGGTTCATAAGAAATTATCTCTTTTTGCCACAAACAAACCTTTTACCAATTTTTTACCAACTTGGGTGACGGCGCTTGCGTGACGTATACTGTATACTCAATCTGCCGGTTCATTTTTCCCTTTGCCATAATGTGCTGTTGGTTCCATGGCCGAGGCTCTTCCTTTTCTTGAATATACTTTTTAGTGATTCCTGGAGTCCGTGTCTCCCTTTTATTGAATTTTCTTCCTTCTTCTGTCCCGAAGTAATTGTTCATCAAATTTAACCACACAGATCGAAGATATCACTTTTTGATGCCTAGACCCCAATAACCCTATTATTCCTGGCACTCGTGGTGTTTTCTGTTATATCGGAGAATTTGTACTAAGCCCGCCGTACGGTGTGAGGTGAAATTGCATATATATATATATATATATATATATATATATATATATATATATATATATATGATTATCCTGATTTTAATTAACTGACCCATTAATTCTTTTTACATGTGATGTAAAATGACGATACTGTTTTGTGTATATAAACATTAAATAAACACACGGTAATTTTTTTTAGATAAATATGAACGATTCATGGGTGTGGACGTCCAAAATGGCGTACGGTACAAATCGAGAACTTCTCTCATTTCGCCCCCAGTTCGGATTCCAATCTTTGAGTTTGCCTGCGTAAAATTTGTGTTCAAGATCTCAGATTTCGACGCTGTTGTTTTAAAGCTACATTCACAGTATAAGACCGGCAAACGCCGCCAGATATGGGAATCGTTCAACAATACAGGGGAGGAGTGGAAAACGGTTTATACAATGATAAAACATGAGGGACAAGAATTCCGTCTTGTATTTGAAAGTATTGCTGGATTGAACAATAAAAGTCCAGCTATTGCTAGCGTTGAAGTAAACCCTGAATATTGCGATGTGGGAAAAATCGAAAATGCCTACATTTATAAGACAGACACACTCCTGTTCAACTGTGAAAATGGTAATGTTTTTGATGAGGACAAAAAATGCGACGGTTATAACGATTGTTTGGATTTTACAGACGAGCTAAATGGATGTGGTAAGAAATGAGATTAATCATCCTGATTCATTTGACAAGTTTATGTACTGCAGATAGCGTGTTTGTAAACTTTTTTTTAATGTACACAGAGATATTCCTAGTTGCACACAGGTTATAAGGCTCTGATAGGCTCAGGCTACTTAATCGATAATTGCCGTTTGCGATCGAGAACCTCAGATTTGTGAGCACAGACGCCCAGATGGACGACTCGAACCACGATTTCATGGCACGAACTTACGGTCTGCACGCGCCATTAAACGGATTAAAGCACGGCCCCGAGGTTTAGTTGCTAGACCCTTGCAGGGTCGGCACGTGTGGAGTCGTTTAGACCATAAACGGATTAGTCGGTTCTGCTTTCGTATAGAGACCGCCATATTTGTATCAGTAGGTCCGAGGATAATCTGTTGTCAGTGCTCTCTTTCAACCGGGCCTTAGGCTGTATACATACGGGTCCTTCTCCTCAACCCCGATCTATTTTCAGCATGGTGCAATAAAGGTACACGAAAATGCACTTTAAGGCTTTCGAAGACTTACGCGTGATATTTTCAAGTGACATTTTCTCCTGTTTCCACAAAAGAGACAAATTCTTGGCGTCTAAACCGTCTAAAAGAAAGATTCGGGCTTTTTTTCGACATAATTTGAGGAGGAGGGTGATGTTTGTTGCTATGGTTACCCAAAGCTCGAAAAAAAAATTAACGAAAAATAAATAACAAGCCTCAAAACAAATCAAACTAAGGTACTTCAATAATCTACTATCCACAGGTCGCATTAATGCGGGAGTAGTGCGCCTTCGACAATATCCGGCAAATAGAAACGTACCGGACGGGTAGGTAAGCGGATAAATGGTTCTTGGTTTCTAGCGCGGTGCTCGTGGCTTCCTTTTTTACGTTCGTACCATAAAGCTTGGCCTGAGTTAATTTGAGTGTTCGCGCTCACAAATATGAGGCTCGAGTTCGCCTGAGATTGTTTATAGTTGATCCGTTTGCTTCTCAGTACAATTGATGTGCAGTCACCGCATGGCAAAAATTGTATTTTATACATACGTCTCTTTTTCTGACACAGTTTGTAACGGATCGGATGTGTTCCAATGCACAACTGGCCTATGCATTGCCAAGAGTTTAGTATGCAACGAGATTGATGACTGCGGAGATGGATCAGATGAAGCGGGATGCGACGGTTAGGATTCTCTTTATTTGTTAATGCATGTATCTGTGCGAGTGTCTATATATCTGTGTATGTGTACGTGTGTGTGTGTGTACATGTGCTTGTTTGTGTCCAGTCGCAAAAGTGCATAATTTGCATATCAGTATGCGGTTGAATGTTCTTGTTTATGATATGCGTAATAAAATTGACTCATTTGTGACATAAAGTATATGAACCACACCTGACACATTTCTTGTGTGCCTTGTCTATACTCAATGGATTGTGTACATATACTAAACTCAAATGAACCAGTCCATGCATTTGTCTCAGTCTCATGCTTCCAGAGCTCAGACGTTTTTTCAATAATACCTGCAACGACGTAAATGGGATGGACAGTTTGAACCCAACACGTGCGACAGACAGTGGTTCTTCCCGGGATATAAACGTTACCTCTGAAAACCTTGGGATAGGTAAATTTAATGTAACTTTGTTCTGCTGTGGAAGGGCACTTGTTACAACAGAGTTTCAATTCTGCGCTTGATAAATTTAGTGAAATATGCATCTACACCCTTGGTCAAAACGGTTATACCACCGACACCTCCACCCCCATTTCCACGTGCTTTTGTTTACAAATAATTACGTCACATCTGCAAATTGTTTTAAACAATAAATTTTATTCTATGCAGATACTACATCTCACATGAATTATTTTAATGTATAACGTGCGCCCTCAAAACGTCTGTTCTACAGTGAATTCCACAAAGGTAAAGAAATGTGCATAAAAATAAAAATAAACCAAACGTCGCCAAGTTTACACACAATTTGTATCAGGATGTGCTCAGTAATAGTCCTATAGCGTGTGTGTCTACTGCAGGCGGCGCGGCATGCCTCCAAAAAGGGTTACAATTTGGTTTTGTAGGATATTGTCTCAGCTTCCTGAAGAACTTGACAGAAATAGTCCAACTTATTAGGGGTTTGATTCTGTGAGGTGATAATTTGTAAATATAGAGAAAATGGAACTGGAGGTGGGACAACCTTTTTGACCAAGAATGTATATAGATCAACTAAAATTATGTATAAAATGTCTTCAGCTCTACGCTTGCATTAGCACTACAAAGAGATTGCTGCCCTTCATTCAAGATATCATGGTATTGACAATTATACAGCTGCTCAATAAGAGAAATATTATATTATATTATATTATATTATATTATATTATATTATATTATATTATATTATTAATCCAAGGGCACAAAAGAGTAGAATTAACACCGTTCCTATTCAAAGCTGCACACCAATTAGAAGACCTGATTCACAGGTAATTAGTAGTTTAACTTAAAACTCCATTGAAAACTGCCATAAGAGAAGAATTTTACAACTTTACAATTTTACAAACTGATACACCAACCACACGACTTTCAATACCCCGTTGGTAATTCGACAAGTTTAATTTAAACTGCAATTTAAACTCTCAGTGAAGCTATTTAACTTTTGTTCGTCTATTTCCATTGAAGAATGTATGAGCATTAAAAGCCATTGCCCAATACTAATGACGAAAACATTTATAAGCGGCATATGTCGTTGATTATATCGTCATTGTTCTAGATGCTCTTGGGATGGACAGCCTTGTGAAAAAGGCAGTTTCAAGCCGGTCCTAACTGATTACGGAGTGTGTTATAGTTTTAATGGAGCCACCGCTGATGAGAAAGTAAAGGTGTCTGAAAGAGCAGGTGAGTTGAGAGAGAGAGAGAGACTTTGCGCACAATGAAACAAATAGAATGGGAAGGTAAAACATTTTCAACCGCCCCAGAGAACAAATAGTCAAGTATTACAAGAAAAGCCAAATCTCCTGCGAAAACAGTTTTGCAAAAAGTCAATAGCACTTGGAGAGTATAATAATGGGTTTTTATTTTGAAATAAGTGCGTCATTATACATAAAAGATAATTACATGAATACATGTATGAAGGAAGTGCGCAAAAAGTCTGTTTCAATGAGTGCAAATGTGTGCACTTATTGATAATTTAAGGCTGCTTTGAATTGAATCACAACTCCATGCACTTTGCGTCTCTTTGTAGGTTCAAGATTCGGCTTGAGTTTGACACTTAACATAGAGCAGTATGAATATATGCTAGGACCAAATAAGGATGCTGGAGTGAAGGTACATGATATATGGGTTCTTTGAAAACATGTTTTTATTCAAGTCAAATAAAGTTAAAATCTTTCCCCATTAAAGGGAAACCCATTGTTTTAAGATTTTCAAATAATTTATCAATGATAAGACTTGCAGGAATTGACCTTCGTCTTTATACCTAGAACTTATTTCAAATAACAGAACAGAAATACTTTAGGGTATTTCAGGAATGCCATACAGTACATTTATAGTATTTTTTAAATTTTGAAATAAATACGTAATTTATCACTTTTATGGGCATTGGGTGATCTATTCTCGAGTCAGAAACAAAACTGAAAACTAACAAATTACCCAACTGATTACCTTCTAGTCTGTATTCTGGCCAAAACAAAATCCCATACCTATAGTATATTGAAAATACTTCATGATAAAGCGTGAACGTTTCTCGTGCATGCATGTACCAGTATTCAGCCTAAATTATATTCATTTCCCTTACTGGAATAGGTCATGTGTTATTCAATTGTTTACGTGGGCCCAATGCGCCATAATGTAGTGGAGTAACGAGGTTGAATAAAAGTGTGGTCGTTTAATTCAAACTGTTCAATGACTGATACCCGTACCACATCCGTGAAAAAATATGTATCATATGCACATTATTTTATCCAATCGACAGCAGTCTGTTTACGTGTTTGCCTGACGATAAACATGACTCGATACTCTTCGTCTGTTCTCGCGTCGAGAAACAATTACACTTAAAAACGTTATCAATATTCTGATTTTCTTACCTTCTCTAGGTATTCCTGCACCCTCAGGATGAGATCCCACAGGTCCGGGAACTAGGGTTCACCGTGGCTCCTGGAATGCACGCGCTGGTGGCCGTGAAGAAGACATCCGTAAGCCCCCCCCCCCCCCTTTGTTGTTCTTAAATTATCATGTGACTCCCTCTCGACATTATTCCAATTTTTGAACATAATAAAATTGTAGTTTTATTATCTTCTTTGGGTCATGAAACTTCAATTTTGTCATGTCGTCTTTAGTGACATGCACATTTTATTCATAACTTTGCTACTTCTTAATAGACTAAGAGTCTTAAGAAACCTCATGGCACCTGTGGAATCATGCCGCTTGATTACTATCAACAATATACGACAGGAAGATGTTTGTTGGAACATGAAACCAAGCGACTGGTACAAGCCTGCGGCTGTCGAGATGCCTATATGCTAAGGGAAGGCAAAGGGAAAGGCGAAGGTGTGTGTGTGTCGATTGGATAAAGTGTAGTTTGATTTTTATTAAAACTGTTTATGAATATGGTAATAAGGACATTCATGAACATTTACTGCGCTCCCCGATTTGCTTTCAAGAAGCCACAAAACAATATCCATTGCACTGGAACCTTGAACCATACAACATAATGCCTTTTAAAAGCACTTAATATATAACGATTTATTGTGCATTTGTATATATGTATGGTGTATAGTACAGTTTAACTCTTGACATGAGCACGTGGGTTTTTTTGCGGGTCAAATTAATTACAAAATAGATGCCCTTTTTATTCCAGATGACCCGCCTGTTTGTGACACTGTCAAATATATTGATTGTGTTTTGCCACGTTTGAGTAAGTTCCATTTTCTTTCACGGTAAACGTCTTTTTCTCTTAAATTATGTATTGATATAGACATAGATGCTTCTGTAATTTTACTATTGGTATCATGGGTACTGTCTTTTATTATACGTTAACGATGCATACAAAGTCAATTTTTGTCACAAAAACCAACCAAATGCCAGCATATAGTTTTAAGTAGTATAACTAAGAGAATTACCAAAAGGAATTGTTTAATTTTACCCGAAAATGATGTTTGAACGGATTCTCTGCTGGCATTCTAAGCTGTATGTCAATGGGGCAGGAAAGTAGGTCACGAAAGTAGGTTAAATTTACAACCAAAAATTTAAAGAAAGGAGCAGTCTAAAGGTTTTTAATGGCTGATTGAGTGATCTATTCAGTTTATCCCTTGGCATGTCGAATTTATTTGAGTCATATAAGAATCTAGTAGAAGTGGTTTACATGTGTTACTGGGAATCCACGCTCCACTGATGCTCGGTTCGTATGTATGTACCTTTTATGTGCTTTAGAGAAATATCTAATTAAAAATAATTTAACAAAGCAGCTTCCCGTTCGTTCAAAATGTTTTAACAAAACAGATTACCGTTCGTTCAAAATGTTTTAACAAAACAGATTCCCGTTCGTTCAAAATGTTTTAACAAAACAGATTCCCGTTCGTTCAAAATTAATTGGAAATGCTTCGATATGGTTGCTATTGAGCCAGTGGATAATTGCAACCAATTGTTCTGTCTAGCAAGGTCAGATTGACAATGAAATATTATTATTATTATTATTATTATAGAGCAACGTACACACAAACAGGCTCAGTGTATCCAGCCTTGCATCACCACGTTCTACGAACCTGTAATATCATATGGAAAATTTTCCGACATCAACGTCGACCGTGTACTCCGTGGAAATATTTCTGTTCTCAATGAAACATTCTTAAACGCCAGAGAGGGAGCACACCGGGTTGACCCCGAGCGGTTCACCGAAGTTTACGAATTGCTGCACGAGCTGAACAAAAGTTATACCAAATTCCTAAGTGTGCTTCACGATATATTAGAAGTACCCATCGACCACAAGTATGTTACCCAAAGGATCGAAAATTCAAAAAGGTATCTCACTGATATGTATAGAAAAGACGTCCGACTGATTACCGAATTTGTATCGCCATACCGATTTCGGTACGTCGTCGAGGTTCACCCCTATGTCCTAAAGTTAACAGAAGCTCTGGGGCACTTGCCAGGTAACTTATTTATATTATTGGGTGGTTCAGACGCCTTCTCTAACGACAAAAGATCGAACGCAAAAGTGGAAGTTCAGAATTTCTACAATCTTTACAACGAAAGCATGTCTGTGTTTCTGGAACCCAGTGCCGAGAAGAACGCAATAGACTTGCCCGACTTTTTCTTCCGTTCTGACACCATTCCGTTTGTGTTTCTTGAACCCAGTGCCGAGAAGAACGCTAGAGACTTGCCCGACTTTTTCTTCGGCTCTGACAACATTCCGTGCATGCAATCAAGGGTATATGTTGAGGAAAAATGCAAATATGCACTAGAACATTCAAACAAGTCGAATATTAACATTGTTTTGGACGATAAAAATCTTGTCAGTGAGATTGAAATGTTCGGGCGTTGTCTTAATCTGTACTATTCCACGATAAGCGCTTTATCTTCTTTGGAATTAGTAAACCCCAGTTCATATTCGGGTGCGAAATTGATAATTGACGAGTATATCGACTCTCTTCTTATAGTTTCACATGCCATGTCACATACTGAAATGATGCTGGCGCACTACCTGACGGGAGAGATTACCAAAACTGAAATAGCCGCAATGTCCACCCCTGATGAAATCGCATATGCAAAGGAGAGCATTAACAAAATTTATGACGTTGCAAAGGGGCTGGAGGGGCGAAAATCGAAAGAACTTAATGATCTTCAAGAAAAAGTAGCACAATCCTACAAAAACATTGCTGAGAAATGTCAGCAGTTTGATACGTTTTTCTCTGCTGCCGGAAGAAAAGGATCGTGTTTAGGACAGTTGTGGGCAATGGAGATATGGAAGCGGTACGTTCCGGACATCAATCTGTTTGGTCAAAGCAACACGTCAGGTGGCCCTCCAGCAGACAAATTTATATATGTAGACAGCTATCTTCAGGAACACGTTGAAGCTTACTTAGAACCAGTTCGGACTATGTCCAAGCAACTAGGTGCCGATCTCAGCGACCAGCGCGGCCTCTTATTGCAATATTTTACTGAGTTTCAGACGCGACTGCAAATGTATTTAAAGGGGAATTCACTGGACGCAACATTTGTGGCGTAAGTAGGTCTGGTGTATTATCAATTGCAATGTCTAGAATATTTTGAATCTCTAATCCTAACCCAATCTATCCAAACATCCAACTTGTAGTTGACGTGCTTGTGAATTAAACGAACCACTTTTCTTTTAACTTCATTTAAGTGGCACACATTTTGGTGTTAAAATGCAGAACCGGAGTGTTTGTTTAAATGGTAAAAAATGTGCGCATATCACTTTGATTCCTTTGATTACCAATCAGATATAAATACATGCAGTTAATATTTACATAAATTTGCCCTAGATGAGAACAGGTATATGTAAACTACTATTGCCAATATATTCATGGCATGTCGCAAGGTACCGGGTCGATGATTACATTGACATTATTGGAATCTAGACTATTGTTGATTTCAGAAATAATTTCCTCAGCCTGGACGTCTATTTTGCCCAGCTGAGCTACCAAAGAATCGAGCAAATGCGAGACATAAACGAAGGGTCATTACTTAGTAAGTACCGGATTTGTTTCGGAAATAGTCGGCTGAGTCCGTATCTCTAGGACTGAATCCCATATATACTCGTTTAAAATAGACAAGGCACGAATAACAATAGATACGAGTGCAATAAAACCTTGGCCTTTATTTTGTTGAGTTGCGCGCCATCTTTATTTTGTCTTCTCTCTTTCCACACACTGCACCATAGTTTTTTCATCAAAATTTCACGCGGAATGTAGGCAATTTCATTTAATAGAAAGCAGGCCAGCTGAAAATTTTAAATGATGTATTTGAATATCTTTCTTACGATTCGTATCTTACCTCTTAACTCAGCTTTTTTAACCCAATCCAACACTCCCAGGGTCTCTGTATTGTCACTGTATCTGTTTTAGGTGAAATTGGTGGATTAATGGGTCTTCTTTTGGGCGCAAGCGTCATCACATTATTTGAACTTTTGGATATGATTATCTATAACTTTATCCTAAAACGAACAGCCAAAGTGGATCGCAGAAACAGCCAGCACCCGGATGAGTTTGAAATGAAAGAAAATTTTGCAAAAGATACATTCGAAACTCCGTTTGCCTAATGACGCCTTTGGATAGCTCAAACACAAAGGCTGTTCCTACTACGAACACGGACCACGAGTGCCTGGGATGCATGAAAAAAATAAAGCAGACTTACATTGAGTGAAAAACACAGTCAGAGAACGGGGGAGGGGTATGCAAATTATTCAGATTATGATATATATATATCCAGTCAGAATTTTCATTTTTTTTTTTGTTTGTTTGTTTGTTCTTGTTGAAACTGTTTTTATTGAACCCATTATAAATTGAGTTGCACGGAAGGAAAAAAGTATGTTAAAATATGTTTCTTGCAAGCAGGGTCAAGGTCTTACGCCTGCGAGATTGAGTTCACAAGGTTCCGGTATTTCATCGTAAGGGAACGTAGTGTATTTGTCATGTAATTGGTTGTTATTGATTTAATCGGATGGTCCTTTGCCGAGAGAAAGTGGCGTTGTACGGTATGATTGTGTTAAGTAAAAAGGTACAACTTGTAAATTATAAGGTCCTTACAAAATTAACAATTTAACCCCCCCCCCCCCCCGCCTTGATTTAAAATGGATCTTGTCAACTGCATTGTACATATATTTATCCTTGCCGACCCCCTCATCCACTGTATATAAAATCCCGTGTTTCTGCCAGTGTGCACGCATGTTATAATGGTAATAAGGATGTAGCAGAACATGTACATTTATGTAGCAGCTTTCTTCTGCTACATGTGTTGCTATCAGTTTTGCCTCTCCACAGTTTTATGCAGGAAGATACAGGTGCGTGTAAACTTTCGTTCATATCACATAACCTGTGTTCCCTTTTGTTGAGTATTTTTCTTCGTCTTATAAATGTCAACTTGGTGCTTTAAAATACTTTGTGAAAGTTTACCTTGATTCTCTGAAACAATATTTGTTAAATATAACCTTGATGTTTTTGAAATGTATTTTTGATGTTTTGAAATATTTTGCCTTCTGAAAAGGACACGATGTGGTAGCGGAGAGGAAAATATGAATAAACCAACTATGTCGAGAAGGATGCCAACAAACAGGGAGGAAATTAGATGAAATGACACTTATGCGGTATGAAAAACAAGGCAACAAAGCTATCAAATGAAAAGACAAAAAGCAGAAAATATAATTCAAAACACTTAAACAAAAAAACTATATAATTTCCAGAAAGGTTAACCGATAAGCAGGCTTTTCATTTGAAGATGCATTTTAGTCCTATATTACCTTTCTGTAAGTTTGAGAAGAGTAAGTGACATGGTTTTCCTTTAATGGTCACTATGGGGGCAGTGCCCAAAATAGGGTTTTCTTCATTTTGATGTAATATTACAAAATGCTTAACAGCATAATAAACATCAATTTTAATAATAAAATAAAAACCATGGATATTCAGAAAATGTGCCTGGCAAAAGTCTTCAAGCCCATGGAAGTTCATAGTCACACATTGAAAATGCAAAAATGTAAACAGGAGTTAACTGTGAGGAAAAGAGTTTATTTCCACCTTCAACATCTTTTTTTGCATAAAACAAAATTATCAATTTACTGTCATTTTTAAATGAACAACTAAGAAAATTGTGAACATAGGAAAAATAACACAAGAACAATTTTAAATGTCCAATTTTCTCTATCCTGAGATTCTGAATATAGTGAGTGATTGAATCTGACAAACTGCAATGATATGAGTTTATTTCCTTTTTTGACAGTTTATTACACAATGCAAGATAAAATGTGTTATCAGTGTTGCATATATGCTGAAAAAAGGAAAAAAAGGCATAACTTTTGAAAAAAATGCCCGAACAGCCTAATTTTTTTTTTTAACGTGACCTGCGTATAATGAATATTCATCAGTTCTGTAAGTTTCAAGCTTAAGGGTAAAACGGTATTTCAATAATCGTGTTATCGGTGTTGTAACTTAAAGTTTGAAAAACAATACACTCATCACTAGCAATAGTCGTTTTATCCTGTGTTACTTCCCAGTAATCATTTCATATGTATTTTGTGTGTATATATATACAGACTTGACATTTAATATGGAATATTTCAGTTTCGAAGGTATGAATAGGTAAAAATGCGTTCTTTTTTCAAAAAACTCCGATCTCATATAAGATTTGTGAATGGAGAAGTGTGTAGTCAGGTGTGTCGCTATCAATTAACTGACTTTCATGTCTGTTGCGCTGCTACATTATGTAATATGCAGTGATTTAATTGGGTAGTGTTCCTTTGGGCTGGTCAAAGCTTGGCTTAGGCAAAGCTTAGTTCTGTCAAAAAAGTATCCATATGTCGACAACTACTGCATAGAAGAATTTGAAATTTTGCATGCAAGCGGTCAGTCTTACAGTGCGTAAAATGAGCTAAGTAGTGCATTACAAATTTGTTAATCTGTGGCAGAATGTCGAGAAAAACAGACATTACCAGACAGATTATAGCGCCAAACGGAACGGTCCCCACAGTTTTACAGAGTAATGCCCAGACTGATGTACCCACACAGAGGTCACCCCCAGTGTAACAAAATCTTACCTACAGGGTACAGGACCCACTGTCTTTCGGGATACGCTGCTGCAACTAAACAAAAAACACCTAGTCCGTTCAGAACGAGGGGTAAATTGCCACCAAAATACGTTTTTCAAGGCCCTTAGCGAACACCAAACTGGTTTTAGCAGGTAAGAATACCAAACGACCTCCGAGGCACCCACTGTAAACAGCAAAACATCGTCGTCTGTTTCTCTAATGAATTGGGGGCCATGACCGTTTCTGGGTAGAACACTGAAACCGCGTGGATTTCTTTATTGAGGTCAGATTTCACCTGTACCGCCCAATTAGTCAAAACAGAGTTTACAGACATCCAGAAGAGGCCTACGACGAAACATGTGCCGGGTCTAAAGTGACAAGGGTCATTGACAGCGTCAGTATTTGGAGTGGATACCACATTGGTGCCAAACCACCAATGGTAGTCATCGACGAAAACCTGAACCAGATCAAATTAAGGAAAAATCTCGGAACCACTTGACTATCATTTGATAAAGGGCACCTTAGGAACAATTTTAGGCTGCACGGTGAGGTTGTCGGTTCACACAGAGCACTTTTAATAGCAGATAACTCACAGAACTAAGGGAATGAGCAGTTACCCTGGTCATCAAAATCGCCACATTTGAACCACATAGACGATATTTGGGTAGGCCATTACTCGCCAAATCAACTGCCTACATGCCCTACAACAAAACTGGACCAAATTGGCCAATTTTTTACCAGATCGAACTCTAAAAACCTAAGCCAAGGAATGCCTTAGCGCTTGAGAGCGCTGGTAACAGCCAGAAGAGGCCAGGCGTAACAACGACCATTACTGTGACTAGAAACTGACATGAGGGTCTTTTGTGGAGCGTATAACTCTTTTACAGACGATAATTAGGAAAATATGGAGATCCAAAATATCTCTTTTAATGGATGTCGTATGACATAGAATAGGCAATGAATTTCTTTTTGCTTCACTGTCGATTCCAATCAATGAACTGATGTCACCATGACATCAAAGAGATAATTTAATGTTATTAAAACACGGTTTTAATCCTTATTTTCATTTATCAGTCAGCAAAATAGGAAAAAACTGATAAAAAATTACTTGGAAAAAAATATTCCATATTAAATGTCAAGTCTGTATATAGCCGTTGTAAAACTAAAAGTAGAGTAGAGAGCCTGTAAAATGTAACTTGTACACATTTTTGTGTTCAATAAAGATGATTATTATTATTATTATTATTATTATTATTATTATTATTATATTAATTCTTACGGCAAGCTGTATTTTTTGGCTCTAGGATAACCGATACCCAAAATGATTATTAGATTGTAGGTATAATAAATGGGGTCTTTCTTATCAACCTCTGCTCTTAGAGACCATTCCCAGAGACTATCATACTAACTTTGGATCGAACTACCTTCGAGGGGATTCTCCCTTAATTGCAATTAACTCGGGCGACTTAGATGTCTGTCACGCCTGCTGAGACTGATAGGGGGTAATTAACTTTCGTTTAGCAGCTTTAGTGGGCGTCCCAGACGTCTAAACCGCTTGGGCTGAAAGCAATTAAGCTAGGGACTCCGTGGAGATAGACCGATCCTGTTAGATCGATTCAGGGATGGGAACCCAGTCTTAAACGTTATAATTTCAAAAGCGTGTCTGAGCTAGTGTGCATTTTGAGACTCGAAAATATTAGGCCCCATTCAGAACAGATAATCCGAGCACCCACCGATCTGCCAACCAAACACGGCCGACCACACCCCAAAATAGACGCCGCCGACCTCCGACGGTCCCCCGTTCCTCCACAAGCGCCTTTAAACGGATGAAATCCAAGCTCCGAGGTTTTATTTCTAGGCCCCTGCAGCGACGGCGCGTGTGGAGGATGGCAGACCACCGAGAATCAGCCCCCCCCCCCCCCCCACACACACACACAAACACACACATCCAGTCTTCCCTGCGTCTTCCCTGCAGGGGCAGAGTAATTAAATCTCGTCTCAATATGACCGGTTGAAAGTGAAAAGACTGACAAGGAATATCGTACAGTGTAGAAGTCTGAAACTAAAAGTAGATAATTGAAGCGACATACCAGGAGCTCAATTTATATACAAATGAATTTCGGGACATTGTGTCCGCCTATGTCATCAGGTGACTGGAGGTTCTATAGTGTGACGGTGTAGTGTGTTAGTTGAAATTGTTTTATATTGCTACCGGTAGATGTCTCTATAAGTAAAGTTTAGTCCGGTGTGCAAGTTTGAATCTCTCCTGTGATTGGTAACTCAACGTTTACTATCTGAACATGTATATAAGGCGTGACTTTAAATAAATCGGTCTCTTTTGGCTCCAAGACATTCTCTTTTGGTCTCTTCTTTGGGGTTTCTCTGACACGCTCTCTTTCCGGACTCCATTATTGATGCTAACACCAGTGAGTATAATGTTCTTTGTACCTTCATAAGGCACTCGGCCACGAAGTAGTAACAATACGCAAGGACCATTTTTTTTGTGCAGTCGCCGTGACCACTATCACAGCAAACAAGAAAATCACGGATGAAGGGAGTTTTGTCATCAGCAACTGCTATAATCAGTAGAGAAAATAACTTACCGCTTTCAAGTAACAGTTAGCAGTTGTACGGTTGGTCCCAGCTTGAAGTTGTACGTACGGTACGTACAGAATGTAAAGTACATTAGTAAAATGTTCTAAACGTGCTGTACATAGCGATTCAACAGATGGAGTGAACTGCCGGAAAGTTCTCATCGAAGAAAAAAGCGATGGAATTTATTGAACCGAAGATTGAAGTTGAAGGTTGGTGATAACTTTTTTGCTTAATCGTGTCGTGCGCGTTAACAGAATGAATCGAGCGCAAAATGGGATCAGGCAATGACACCCACTTGTACTAGTAGCAACATGTGCCGCAATAGAGACTACCCCTCTTATACCCCCGTCACACTTATTCGGAATCAGCAGGAATGAAGAAGAATGAGCCCGAACGAAGAATTTTTAAAATTCGAACCACATGCAGGGGAAAATTTTCAAATTGACCTTAATTATTGTAAGAGTACCGTTGGAATACTCAGAATGCGCTTGAATTCGACTGGAATGATGAGTGCATTTTCGACGGTGTAGCTCTCAAAAGCAGTTCGAATATAGTTGGAAAACTAGGAATATTTATAATACTGTAAGAAGGCAGTAAGAATATTTAGAATATACTTTGAACGGCGCACTACAGGTAGTATAGTTCGATTGCTTATTTCAGCTCATCCGAGGCACATTCGAAACTTTCTGTCGGAGTATAAAATCCCCGTCACTCTAGAGGCGGAATGATAAAGAATGGCGTTGGAAATACAATTCTTTGTGCATTCCAGGATAATCGAAAAGCATTCTAAAAAAGTTCTAAAAATTCTGAGTGCATTCCAAATATTTTTACCCATTCTTGTGGCCGGCTCGAATGTTTTTGTCATGGCATTTGAACAGTACTCTAACTGCACTATGACTGCATTCTAAATATTCTCACGGCATTCCGACAGCATTCGAAACATTATGATCAGTTACCATTCCTGTGGCGTTATTTATACATTCTGGGCATCGTGTTACATTCTAAACATGTTAGAAAGTAATTTTAATTAAGTAATTTAGGTATTTCAACTGCATTATGTTTGAATTCTTTGTATTTCAAACCATCATTGGCAGCCATACCGGAAGCAGTTGACTGCATTTGAGTTCGCGTTCGCACGAATTTTTCAATTTATTCATTCTGGCTGGTTCTACCTTGATTCCTGCTGGTTACGA